TCAGGAATGCCACTTGTTTAGGGTGAATCTCATCTAGTATGGACAAACAGCTTTCATGCAAGGAACTTCTACAGAGCAAGGAGAGCCCAGGCTGTGTCCTATTGGATGAATTTTGGCAGATAGAGCTGCTTTCCCACTGCTTACCTTCCAACCTCAGTGGTTGGACCAGATGATCTTGTGCTCTTTTCCAGCTGTAATGATTCCATGATTTACCACTGAGGAATCCCTGACACTTGGATCAATGCTCCCCTTTACAGCAATACCCTGGCTCCTTCCATTTTCCTTCTACTCTCGAAGTAAAGGTAACAAGGGTCCACATGTGGAGCTCTCAAGACTGTACCCCTCTGAAAGACAGGATTTGGCCTATTGACAACAGAAGTCCTCAGTCAGCCCTATCCCCAGTGACATTCTCTTCATCAAGGTTTTCACCGAGGACACGTGTCTGCCAAATATATAATGAATTATTTGTAATTTAATCTGAAGAGCTTTGTTCCAAACTCATGTAAGGCTCTCTGCATATAACAAAGCATTCAGGACATGACTTACTTTAGGCATCAGCAATATGCTTTGGGCAGAAATCTTGATTTGTAAATACTGCATTCTGCTCCAACAGATTTCCTTTCTGATAAACCATGACCACTTCATAATTCCAGGGCAAAACCATGAAGATTAATAAAAAGCAGAAAGAGGATTTTAATCAACACAGCCAGCTGGTCTGTGGTTTAGATTATGTTGTGGAAGGGAAAGTGTAACGTTAAGATTGAATGAAAAATGCAAAACACTGATTACCCCACAGCGTATCTCTGTGCGCTAAATTAACATTAAACTCAAATTTGCAAATCCTGTGTTTATATTACTGTGTGTAGGCAATTGCAATATATTTAACATCAAGTAGAAATTAAAACATCCGCCTTGAAAATAATGAGTTTTGCTTTAAATCCTGTTCATAAAAGTCACTTTCCCTTCTACCCCTTGCTAAGAAGATGACCTACTTTAAATCTCATTGATTATAATTATCGTAACAAGCTCCCTGTTTGGAAAGAGTGATGCAGGATGACTGGGAAGCAGCCAGTGAGGGGAGAGGAGAGGGAACCCACCGAAAGCCCACAAGTAGAGGGATGAAGGCTTCCCTAGCTTGGACCAACCAGGGAAACCCAATGACAGCAGCTCGTTATGGAGACAAAACAGAGAGCTGCCGGGCTGCTCCTCGCCAGCAGACGTAGGCTGCTGCCAGCTGCTGAGGGGAGAAGAGGGAAACACTGGCTGGATCCGAGCCAGGTGGCAACAAAAGGCTCATGCATCATACCCACATCGCCGACTGTGCTGGCCACCCAACCTGCATCAGCACCATAGCAACCAATGTTAAAATTGGGTCAGGATTGCCAGTGTGAAACTGGTTATTTTGAATATAGGGCTTGTACTTGCACTAACAATGTTCACTCCGGTGCAATTTTGGTAGAAAAACATCTGGGGAATCTGGAGTGGGGAGAAGACTCTATGAGGTGATCAGGCTGCCTCAGGCTGCAAGTGCAGCAACGCTTTCATCCTTTAATCAATACTGGTTCTGTGTAAGACATACTGGGACCAACCAAAGTGCCTGAACACCTCTCTTGCTGTGCCTGATCCTCTCCTGCATCCAGGATGTGGTCCAGTGACAGCTCACGGCAGCCTCCACATCTGGCCAAGCCCTCCCCTGAAGGCAGCACCCACAGGGCCTGCACAGCATCGCCCAGGCATGTAATCACCATCTGAGCAAATCTGCAGACAAAAATAGATAAAACCTGGGACTGGGACATGATTATGTCTTGGCCTTTCCTTGGGATGAACTGTCCTTTCAGCCAAATGCTTTTACAAATGTGGGACACAGCCAGCAGCTGCCATTGGGAGTATTATTTGGAGGCTTGAAAATGTTCATTAAAGTTATTCATTCCACGGTGAGTAAAGATATATTTAATAGAATAGAACAAAGTGACAAGTACTGTGCATACACAGGGGAGGATGTTGAAATTTAGCAGCGAAACCATTTCTTCCAATCAGTGCTGTCCCCTTAAAAAAACGTTCATGCTTTTGCAGAAGAAGCATCTCTGTAGGAGACAGCTACAGAGTTCAAGCTGAACAAGGACTTTGAATTAACATACCAAGACCAAAGCATTCAAACTGAACAGCTAAAGTTAAACACGTGCAGTCCTCTCTGGGGCAATGCGAAGGTGGGAGGAAGCAAATATTATGTGGCTGAAAGATCCAAGGGATGGCAGAGCAGATGGGTTTTTTCAGCAGGGCACTGTCAGGGTTCAGGACATAGCTCTACAGGAAATTTAGCTTCTTTGTGCCACAATTTAGATGAGACATTAAGTGAATTATTCGGGGATGAAGGTAGGATCAGCAAACAATAGCAAGTTTCCTATATTCCTATAATAATTCCTATAGCAAGTTTCTACCATACATGTTCAATGCTTCTAAGTATACTGTGCTGTCACTATATAAAAGCCATGTCTTCAAATAAAGCACCACACCAAACAGAAGTCTTAAAACACTGCAATTAGTTTAAAATACTGCAACTAGCTTCTAAATTATGATTATTTTTCTATGTATCCTGGAACTAGATTCAATATCTACAATGATTACTTCTAAGGTACTCTAGCACGAAGTTCAACAGTGAGAGCAGGAGTAAATGTGATACAAATCTAGTTTCAATTTCTATTTGGATTGTCTTAGGTTCCAATGGATTTTGTAAGATAAGAAGTGAATGATTCCTGAGTGAGGAACTTCTCACTCTGCAGGTATAACTTCACTTGCTAATGATTCTTAATGCAAATATTTTTCTGATTTCAGAAAGCAAGCTAAAGTAGTGCAAAAAAATGCAGGTAGGGAGGACGCTTACTTCAACCCTGTGCTGTGCCAGACCCTAACTCAGTTTTTAGGTTGCTGGCTTCTCACAGTAGGTTCATATCATCTGACCAATGCATCAGGAGTACTTTCCTCACTACTTTCCAGACCTCACCCAAATGAAAGAGAGCATTGTTTTACATGAACTGAGCTGCAGGCAGAGAGCAGAATGATCAGTGTACAGCTTCAGCTCAGGTTGTGCCTGAAGGCAAAACAGTTTTACTGCCCTTTCCAGATGGAGACTTACCCCAGAATCACTCACTTTTCTCTTGTACCTCTTTTTTGTTTGTTTCCATAGGACTTCCCATCTATAGTCTCTTCTCTTAGCTCATCAGGCTTTCAGGTGACCTCAGTCCTCATTAAAAATGCCACTGCTAGATCAATGTCTGAAACTCAGGCTACGCAGTTTGCATTAAAATCAAGTAAAAATATGAATTGTTGTATCATATTCTTGATATGAACAACATGGTTTGAAATCGAGCTCAGATTGTACCAGACTGCCCTATTCATATCTGGCTTGTCACCCAGGCTGGAGTTTGCTTTGCCTCAGCTCCCCCCACCCCTCCTCCTCCCAAGTTAGCAGAAAACATTTCAAGGATGTCTGAAGGTCTCTGCAATTCAGCCACATTGTGAGCAGGTCCAGGTAGAGCACATGTAAAACATTCATAACTCATTAATCACAAGATTTGTTTCAAATTACATTGTAATGCCCGCTATTAACAACTGTTGTAGCTTTGTCACTGAGAAACAGAAATGGCAGAGAAACAAACTCTGGAGTGCTCTAGAACCACATTTTTCATTTGGAAAAATCAATCTGTATTTTCTTTCAAAATGCACACAACATTATTGTTCATCTGAGACTGGGTGATGTTTCTTAGGAATTGCTGTCAAGCACGGACCATAAAAAGCTACAGGCACAAACAAACGATGCTTTTGGATTTGAAGATTCAAAGTACAACAGAACATGTCATCTGCTTTGTAAATACTTCCCAAGCTAAAAAAAAAAAACCACTAACAGAAACACATAAAACTAAAAAAATCAGTAAGAAGATCACTCTTAAAGGAAATCCAGAAACACTGACAAAGGAAATAGCAAATGAAGCCATAGAAACAGAAACAAATTAAACTCTGCCATCACTTTGTCAGGCAAGAAATATGCAATTAAGATGCATTGGTGTTTACAAAGACTATGGTTAGCTCATATTCAGAGATTAATTTTTCTTCCTCATGTTTCCTTTCCACCACTAAATAAAGAATCTCATGCAGAGCAAGGTTGCCCACACATTAACTTTTACATTATAAATCTTAGAAAGCCTACAGTCTCACCATTAAATTTACTTTCCCTTCTCCACACAAAATGAACGGTTGGTTGTTCTAGGCATGTCCCACATCACTACTCATACTGTTTTTGGTTATTCCATCTGTGCTCCTTTTGTCTGAGCAACTAATGTGAAATTGCATTTGACTTTTTCCCATGCAAGTGTGTATCCACATCCATCTTGGAAAGCTATGCAGGCAAGTCATTATTCTTCTCAAATATTTCTCCTCTTTCATCACACTAGCACAAATCACAACCACCAAGAAAATTAGGAGTAAGCAGTTCATTTCTGCTGTACAGTTTTAAAGAAAAGTTACCTGAAACACATCTCATCCAAACAGCTGCAGCTTTGTTCAGTCACACAACTGTAGTGGTAACGAGAGCCTACTTTCTGAGATGGAAATATTTACACACAGTGGAACCACACCACTGTTACTCAATTTACAGCATTTAATTTAGAGGACATTTGCGCTGCGCTTCACTTCTCCCTGGAAGTTTTGTTAGGTTCTGGAGAAGAAGTGGGTTTATGTACAAACAAAAGGCAGCAGGTACTAAGAGAACTTAAATTGCTGCAGGACAGAATTACGCCTTCTAACTGCAAGTAACATTGTATTATCTTACCATCTTCTGAAGGCTGGAGTATATCCCAGTTCAGCAGAGCTCCCACCCATTTGTTTTTGTCTGCTGTATGTATACTATCATGCAACTGCACTAAGATGGATGGGATTATTTGTTTATACGTCATGTACTCTATTGCCTCATGACCTTTTAGAAACAGTTCCTGGAAATGTAGAACTACAGTTGTTGTCAAAAATTTTATTTTTCTTTAATTTAAAAGCAAAACAAACAAGAAAATGGCATACAACTCAGTAAAACGCTTATAAAAATCCAGGGCCATACACAAGTCTCTTTTTCATATCAAGAACTTCATTTTTTTTCTTTTTTCCAAAGTACAGAGTGATCAGCAACATTTTAGTTACACTTCCGATAAAAATAGAAGTAGTAATCAGTAAAAAAAATTCCAGCATAATAAGGATCTGTTGAGCAGCTCACAAGACCCTGCAGAAGAAAAATAAAAGGGATTCATGCGGGATCTTCTCCTTTCAGCTCAAATGATATTTGTCTCTTGTGTTCCCATTTGAAAAAGGCTTACCGGTGTGGCTACGCGGAAATAGTAAGCGCTGTCATACAGCCTAGCGACTGGGAGAGTCCAAATATGCTGACGTCCCTAGATGATAAGTGAGAGAGAGATTAGATAACCTGATTTCACATGGAACTGTTGAGAAGAATAGGCTCTGGAAACATTTCATTGATAAATGCAGTGCAAAATAATTACGATAACGAGACTTGATAGCCGCAGGCGGAGCATTTAAAGACAAAGTGCTGACTTTAAACCTTGCAAATCTGGGTTTCCTCTGATCAGCTCTGCATAGGATCTGACAGACATCTGGCTCCCTGCAGCTCTCAGCTGGCTCTGAGTAACTGTATAACTCTAGTTTTCCAAGCAAATCCCACAGCAAGTAGGGATTGTCCCTGATGTGCCGTGTGGCCCAAAAGCTTTCAAGCATAACAGCAACAAATGGCAACTCTGCTGATTTTGAAACAGCAACATTAGCAGTCCTTGGAAGGCAGTGAAAATTCCCACACATATGCTCAAGATATGAGCAGCACTTTTACTCAGTGTTTCAAAAAAGTCTGAAGGGAAGATTTCACTTTTCTTTTGATTCTAGTGTCCTGCCAAGTATAACTGAAATAACAGATTTTGTATCTGAATTTTTTATGCTACACAGAATAAAATTCAATCTTCACCTCTTGTTGACCTGGTGATCCATTTAGGTATGCCTGTGATAACTCATTTCTTCAGTTTCAAGTGTTTCCTTCATCTTTCCCTTCTTTCTGACACATTCTCTGTTAGAGATGGTGTGTTCACATGATAAGACTTATATTTATATTGCCTGGAGTCTAAATGATTGCCATCCTGCCCTTTGGTAGGTAATAAGCCTTCCAGTCCTTAGAAAAATCCTCTTGACAAATATTATCCAACCAGGCAGCATTTCTATTCCAAGTCACATCAAACTTAATGCACACTGCTGCTGGAGGCTAGTTAGCTTTAGTCTTTTGATGTAGATTTCAGGTTGACACAGAAAATCACTTTGACCACTTTTGGCAGTAAGCTTCAAGGATATTTCTGCACGGGAAAACTCTCTGGGACTGACTTAATTTCAAGAACTATTAGAATTGCAGCTGATAGATCAAAACTTGGACAACTTATTTACTTCAGTCTGATGACTTTGCCGCAGTTGCAGAGAAGCCTGTAACTTTTTGTGAAGACATTTTAAAAGTTTATCAGAAAGTCAACTTAAGGACAAAACGTATCCCAAATGCTCTGATCTGTTAAAGTGCAAAAAAAGTAATTTAAAACTAATTAAGAACTTATTGTGAATGGTTCCATGAATCAGAAGTCTAGAAGATCTCGTCTTAGCAGAGGTTTCTTCTACTCCGTTTAGGAGAAGTGTTACTATCCTTGCTTCAGCCTTTCCCACTGTTTTAGCCAGAATAAACATTTCCAAGCTAAGTGGACAAATCTGAGAACCTGGTCACATGGAAGAGTTCTATACTTCCAGAGAACTGGAGGGGAGTTTAGGGTCTTCATTAATTTACTGGACACAATCAAAAGTTTGCAAGATCATCTCTCCTGGGAAAAGTTAAGATGTTTTAACTTTTATTCCCATCAACCAAGAGAATGACAGAAAACTTTTCTTGCTTTTTCACTGAATAATTTTCCCTAGAGGGGCTTGCTGGTAAACTCCTGTTTGCACAGAATAAAGGGAAATACTACCAATATTTTTTTAGTGAATTCAAAGCTTAAAAATTGTACTTCACTGCCCATATGACGATAAAGGAAAAGTACAGAAGATGAGAGGTTAGACAACTCTCCTAATGTCCTGGGTGAAAAGTACTCTTAACTATCTCTGGAGTTGAGTTAGACAGACAAGCAAGTGAAGATATGAAAGCAAATAAAATATTTAAGCACTGTATGGTTTCAATAGCCAAAACCATCAGAAAACTGAATACTTTTTTTTCTACACGAAGCTCAATTTTATATTCAGTATGGCACAGTACCTCCATGAAAGAGATGAAAAAACGACCATGTGGTGGGCAGCATGTATAGTTGATTCCTGTAAGCCAGAGTATTGTTTAAAGAATTTAACATTACCTGTGTGGTTTCTTGGAAATTTTTCACACTGTTTCGCCTTGAAGAATAATAGGAGCAATAATTTCCAAATGTGATTTTGCAGAGCAATATAATTAATGGTTCTGTTGTGCTTCAAGAAAGAGAAAAACAAGGATCTACCTCATCACTCTTAAACAGAGAAATCATGAATATAATACAATATAATCACAGGTAAACATTCCAAAGAATTCAATTCTGGAGAAATAAAGCAAAGGACCTTACTTCATTGGTTCATACAAAGGAACCTGAGCCACCAACCTCTAAACTTGTCCCATTCCCCCCCAAGCAGGGCGGAAGCTTTGTATTTGGAAACCTGGGTGGTCTTTGCAGCTGTTAAGATAAATTTAGACATGTACACTAAACTTCCTCAAACTTCAAGCACATTCATACCAGAAGCTATCGTATATGAGTTTTTGTACAAATTAATGGTTACAACATGTCTGAATTGCATGTCTTATGTCATCCACAGGCACCACATGCCTATGTCAAAGAGTGCTCTGACACCTAAACACAACAGCAGATAATTTTATAAAAAACAAAATAAAAAAAGCCTTAAGATGGGGATCTATATAAGTAACTTCCATTTGTCCCTGTACACATACAGATATATCATGAAAAGAAGTAAAAGTGTCCTTGTCTGGGTATACAGTGTTAAACAGAATTTCATTCATAATTCTTCAAGAGCAAAGACCCTATAGCCGTATCTTCTCCAAACTATCCCTAGAGATTGCACAGCATTTCCTATCTTACCCAATGCATCCAGAGCAAAGGTACTCTGGAGATCCAAAGGAATACATATATGCAAATGGCTAGAGGCAAAATAAAAGCAGAAGGTGTGGAAAAGTTGGCATGACTATTTACAGTTTTTGCAGTGGGGAGCAATGAATTCACGTACAGCATTCCCTGTGTCCTAAGGGACTGTCAGTATCATGTGTTAGTTTCATTTGATTTTACTCTGTGGGCATAAAAGTTTCCCAAATTTGTAGGTATTCACAGTGTTTTACAGTACTGAGACACAGCAGTAATCTAGTAAACCACTCTTGTTTGGTTCTTGTTGGTTTTATGTTGTTCTTCAGTTTGTAGCTATCTTTATTGAAGGCACATACTGGAAAAACTCATCCCCAAATTCAAAAACCAATATCCAAAATAAATTCAGCAACTGTTTCAGTGAAACTCTGGGAATCGTGTATTAATCCCTACATGAGAGTGTTGTGTTATTAGTTTATAATGGCATACACCCAACAGACAGATGCTCAACTGTTGTATGAAACAAGCAGTTGCTTCAGGACTACCATTGTATTCCAAAATCAAAAAGCTGGGCCTAAGGGCCATACATAACTTTATAAAGCACTGTACTGAAGACAAGGGAATCATGAAGTGTCATCAAGCAGTCCTTGGCAGCTGTTATGGCTATCAGTGACCTTTATCAGAGATGATCCCCAAAAGAAAGGATTTGTTACTATGGGAGAACATGGGAGAACATGATGAAGCCAGATTAATATTTGAAGTGAAAATAACTGCTTAGAGGTAAGTCTGCTACTTTTTCCTGCTATAATGTTATGTATTGCCAAAGATTCCTGCACAAGAATTCCCTTTTGCAGGGCTCAGCATAAAAGGCAAAAAGACAGTCTCAAAAACCCTTCATGTTTAGAAAAGGTGTTCACATAAGATTTTTTTGTATGTTCTTAATAATATTCCTCTACGTTTAAAACAAACAAACAAAAATAAGCTCAAATTCCTATGAATTCCAACCTGAAGATTACTGCATTTTAATACCTACATCGATGGATGAAATTGTCCTTAAACTGAGATTGGCACTGGGCCTGTGTTGCAGCAGAGGATCAACCCAAGAGTCTACAAGAAGGATTTGCCTGTGCATAGATTTGTCCCACTTCTCTGAATATGGACAAATTAGTGCCACAAAAGAAATAATGCAAGAATTACTGTCAAAAACAAAGTACTATCATCTCATAACATTATCATTATATTATCCTTAATTATACTTACTTGATTTCCAGTGAGATTTCTACATTTATGGGTGTGTACTTGCTAATGGGAATACTACAGCTGTAATTTCCAGACCTGAAAAAGATGACATTAGTGCACATCGGATTTCAAAACAGATGGTATATTTGAAAACAAACAAAACAAACATGGAAATATATTTAAATTTGAAAAAGAAAAATTACTTAAAGGTAGGAAAAAATCCACGGACATAAGAGGAAACAACAGCGAGAAGGAGCCAGCCAGACAGTCATGCCACCTTAATTGTATTCTATCCCAGTATAATGAAGCATAATAAAATAATTTACTTACCTGCACTGTAGATTTTTACTACAGTAGCGACTGTCAATTAGTTGCTGTGTTTCCAAAATCTGTACGGATCTGATCGTTGTATCAATCCCTGAAGATATAAGAAAAATAATGTTTTCTTCTTGTTTGTTTTTTGTTTTGTTTTGTTTTTTGTTTTTTGTTTTTCCAAAATCTTAGATAAAATTATAATAAAACTGCAGATAATGGAGCAGCAGTTATTCCCTTGCATGCAACTGCAGGAGTTGCTACAGGTCTAAATCAGCTTTCAGTGAAAAGACTTTGGTTGATTGCCTTTTACAGTTACAGGGGGAAAAAAAATGCTTGTTGCATTCTCAAAGACATATCCATGCACGTAATACTGCAATACTTTCTTTTGCGCAGACAATGAAGGCTATTTTGATGAAAGTCCAAGTAGGATAGAAACACGCTGCACTGATTTCAGTTGGGATAGAGTGAATTTTCTTTCTTGTAGATCATAGAATCAGAACTGTTTAAGTTGAAAGGGACCTTCCAAGATCATTTAGTCCCACTCCCCTGCAATGAGCAGGGACACCCACACCTAGATCAGGCTGCTTAGAGACTGGTCCAGCCTGACCTTGATCCCCCCTTAGATATTGAAAGGTCACTCTCAGATCTCTCAGCGCCTTTCTTCTCCAAGCTGAACAGCCCCAGCTCTCTCAGCCTCTCATAAGGAGGTGTTCCATCCCTTGGATCATTTCTGTGGCCCTCCTCTGGACACACTCCAACAGGTCCACATCTCTCCAGTACTGAGGACTCCACATATGGACGCATTACTCCAGGTGAGGTCTCATCAGTGCAGAGTAGAGAGGGGAAGGATCACCTCCCTCACTCTGCTGATTGTGCTTCTTTTGATGCAGCCCAGGATACAGATCGCTTTCTGGGCTGCAAGGCCACATTCCTGGCTCTGCGATGGTATGGCGTTGTGCTTTGGATTTAGAATGAGAATTATTTAGAATAAGAATAATATTGATAATTCACTGATACTTTAGTTGATGTTGAGCAGTGTTTACACAGAGTCAAGGACATTTCAGCTTTTCCCGGTGCTCCGTCAGCAAGGATACTGCAGGGGGTACAATGAGCTGGGAGGGGACAGAACCAGGGCAGCTGACCCAAACTGGCCAAAGGGATGTTCCATACCATGTGGTATCATGCTGAACGAGATAACTGGAAGAAACCAGCTAGGAGGGCTGCTTCTGCTCAGAAAATAGCTGGCCATTGGTCAGTGATGATGGTGAGCAACTACTCTGTGCATCACTTGTTTTGTGTATTCAATCTTTACAATTATCGTCACCTTCCCTTTCTATCTTATTTAATTCTATCTCAACCCACGAGTTTCACCTTTTTTCTGATTCTCTCCCCCATCCCACTTGGGGTAATCGAGCAAACAGCTGCACAGTGCTGAGTTGAAGCTGGGTTTAACTACAACAGTCCTCTCAGTGTCCCATGTTGGCAATAAGAAGAACTAAAAACAGCACTAGCAAGACTGATAACTTCATAATAACTACATCCTGAATTTGGCAGAAGTTTACAGCTCAATAAATAGGAACATGGAATAAAAACCTCTACCAAAAAAAATCACATTCTGGAATTAGCTCAACATCTTATGTATAAACAGATATATAAATTGAGTTTGTGCATATGCACATATATGTAATATCTTTTTGGGTAACACAAAATGCAGTTAGATGTTTAGATCCTGGTAATTGAAAACACTAGTTTCTAGAGGAAAAAGGGACCTTCAAAGCACAGCTGGTGCACTGATTACCAGGAAAGATAAGGAAAGTGATCATCAGAGTGATTTTGCTCCTAGCCAGGATGGATCAAGTTCCCCTGCTTGCCACAAACTTCCTGTGACACCTTGGGCCAGCACCTCTTAGTTATGGTGAGCTACAATGACATGGCTTTTCCGTGAGGCAGATTAGCCCTGTGGAGTGTTCAGGGCAAGAACCAGCACGCTGACACAGCTGCACAGCTTCTGCTTTCACATCTGGCTTTGGAGTAACTGCACTGATCTGCATCTCACAAAGCTTACTTGCTCTGGATACATCTATAGCATCCATCAGTGTATGTGCATGATTAGGCAACAACTCAGACCCTATGCCAACCTACTTCAGCCTGTCTTGAGGTCCATAAACAGAAGGGAATGAATTGGTTTAATTCCACCAGGAAGACTGAGATTCACACTGCCAATAGGATGGGGAAAACCCAGGTGCGGATGCAGTGAGTGAGCTACACTCTGGCTTTTCCCTGAAGTACAGAGGTGCTCATATCTTACATGTGACAGCACGTAGAGGACATGTTTCTGCAGGTCCAAGCCTGTTTTCCACACTGAACTGTGAACACTGCAGAGGAAGTTGATGATTATAGGTTGACGTGTGAGTGTATCTACTCAACTTCCAACAAGCACATTTCCACACAGATGAACACTGAGCACGTTCATTCCAAAGAACTAGTGTGGAAGAACATTTCCCTGTGACACAGTGCCTCACTAAAATATATATATCACAGCAACGCCACAGAGGCCATGCTTTGAGTTATGTAGCCACTGTAAACAACTTAGAAGGGGAATAATTTTTCCAAGATCATCCCAATTGGAACACATCCAAGCTACAAACAGAACCTGTGTTCTGTTAGTTGTATGACAACTCCAGGTGCCAACCTGCTTTAAGTTCATGTCAGTATACAGACATTTTGTTGTGCAAGTATTCCCCAGTCTTTAATCAAACATTTTTACACAACCAAACAAGCAAACAAAATACCACTTGAAACAGAGCTTTCACATGACTAGAAAAGTCTAGAAAAGACTTCTGCTCATGTGGAATGACTGATGAAGGCAGAGATGAATCCCTTCAGCAGCTGATGTTGACCTAGCATCCTGTAGGTCATCCAGGCCAACCTCAAAACATTTCCTTTACACTCTGTCATGTTTTTTTCTGCCACAGTCATATGCTTAAGCATTTTGCTGGGTAGGAGTTAGCACTACCTATCACCTTACAAGATCTCAGCTCATGAAGAAAAAGTAACTTGTCATTTTACTGCATCTGAAGCCAAGTAGTAGACCTCATTGAAGAAGGCAGCCAGAATGTCTACGAAAACCTACTGAAGATGTAAGAATTGCAATAAGAAAATTAAAGTCAACTGCAGATATTTAACAGATTCCTAAGCTCTAATTTTCTATAATGACCAGTAATAATTTTAACTTCCCCAAATTCCAGCAGTATAATTCCAACCCTAAAGGCAGCCTTTCAAATTTGTACAATTACAAATTTCAACAGTTTGTTTTTTTTTTAAAAAAAGGACTTACAATCAGTTCCAAGATCAGGTCTCCCATCAGCATTTCCTCCAAGCAGCACGTCACATTTGTTTCCTGTGAGAGGAGTATTTACAAATTTCCTCCAAGTTAGCATTTCATAGTTGTAACAATAAAATATGGATACAACTCCCCAAGACATTTTTGTCAATTATCTCATTTATAACCAACAGGAGAAACCTTTAAAATGCAAACCACCTCTATTAAGAAGAAGATATTTACAGACAAAAGATGTCTGTAGGTTACAAGAAACAGTTTTCTGAAATTCTGCAGGATATCTCAGATATTTCACCAAAAGAAAAAAAAAGAATAGCCTAACAGAAAATATTTATCCCACACTGAGAATATCACAAATAATCATAATAAAAAGACAAAGTGAAAGGTAACATCCAGCACAAATCTGATCATAAAGCAACTCTTTCTTATTAGTGAGAAAATGTGGAAGTAGGCATCTGCTGTGCAGAGGTGAGCGAAGAATAACTTAGCTTTCTGAATCTGAGATGTAAGATGCAGAGGACTGACCCAAGACGTGGTGCTTCAAACACAGAGGGATGTGTCATTTAACTAAAGAAACTAATACATAACTCTAACAATATCATCACCACGGTCATGATATGTCACCTCTGTAATTTCTAACACTGAATTAGGCTGGGAAATTTCAGTTGTTGAATTTTCTTTTGCTCTATTAATTTTCTCAGCACGCAGCACTTATCCAGAAAAGTGAACCTTAAAGTATTGTTCGAATAACCATTATAGAGTAGAATCTGAGGAGAGCAAAAGGCCCTTCAAGCCCATGGAAGATGGTTTAAATCTGTTCTTGTGCTTTTACACTAATTGCCAGCCAAGTATCCGTCCTGAGAAATGTCACCAATAAATTGGCACTGAGAAATGTGGACCTTGCCTAAAATAATATGCTTCATCAAATACCATTTCATTTGGACAAAAAATGGAATCATGCATTAATAGAATACTGAAATACTCCATTTCCATGTTTTCCAAAGGAAACATGCTGATTTAGAGTGACTGTTTAGAACAGAAGTCCCTATTTCACTATATAAAAATCTGCTTTCAAAAATTATGGGTCAAAATGCATCATATCCATGAGACTGAAACAGAACAGCTGCATTTGATGCTACTGTTCATTTATTTATTCCAGATTTTGGCTTTTGTTTTATTTCTGTACTGGGAAATAACAACATCCAGAGATTTCCAGCATTTTTCTTTTTTTGCTGTGAATCTGTGTTACTGCTGCTAGTTATTCTTTGCATCCATTTTCTATTTACCTGCTCCTCATACAGATTTGCCAGTTTCACCAACTTAGATGGCAAGTGCTGCATTTAGAAGTCATCTGCTATCTGGTGTGTTAGCAACGCACTGAATGTTCCCTCATGTTTGCATTTTCATTAACTGAAAACCATTCTGTAGGAAAACCAATTGGTAAAAGCAATAGATTATTCACTGAAAGAAAGATGTTTTCCCCATAGGTATAATACTTCAACTATGCAAGTGCTGGCAGGAATACTCATTACATACTCTGAATTACTAAATATTTAATATTATGATTTCTTGTCTGGCAGATTGTAGAAGAAGGCATTAAGTGGATACCAGAAAACTGTATAAAACTAGGAAGAAAACAGATTTTCTTAACTGAGATTTCAACAATTTAAACTGAGTCAATTGCCAGTACAGATTTTTTTTCATGTAGTAGAACTCCAGTTGCTAGTCCACTACATCAGGAACTACTGAAAAAACACTGTAGAGTTCAGTAAATGGTGATATGCTTCTGCTCTATCCCCTACAGCAACCCAGATGTTTTTCTCAAAGATCCATGTGGGGTGGGAAGTTCCACTTTTATTCACTAACAAATACAGAAGTATGGACATGACAAGAATGAAATGATAACAACCTCACTGTCCAGACATAATTCACATAAACTTATCAAATAAATCTGGTATACTTTTTTACACAAATACACAAATGGGCAAGCAATGAGTATTACTGGAATGGAAGCAGTTGGTAGAAAGGCCCAGATGCCAAAGAGTATTCATTCTTTGCATTTCCACTCAAGCCAGCAGAAGTCAGAAAGTCTAAATCTTTCAGAGAATCCAGTTTTTACAAGAAATAAAGTATGAGGAAACAACACCATATTAAGGTAGACTACACAAAGATGTCTTGAATTTTTGCTTAATAAATTTTGTCTTGCTTATGAATGCTTTCCTTTCTGGCTGAGCACTCATAACAGCTGCCTTCTCAACCAATTTGAGAAGTTAGAAAGTAGGATCTGCAATGGATGTGCTCAATAGTAGTCTTTAAGCACAGAATTCAGAATTTCATATGGCAGAACAATAAAAGGTCTACTGAGCATGCACTCTTAAGTTAGCATGTACTTCAAATAGTTTTAGCTTTCCATGAAACAGACCTATCAGTTGATTATAAAATATCCACATTTTATCTTGATTATTCCCCATACTTAATGCTCAGCTTTTTCTTCTTTTTTGATTTCGCTTTTCATTTATTTTGGCTACAGCTACATTAAGCAGCTTGTTGGTTTTCCTTCTGTTTAGATTTCATATTGACATTCTTCTGTCTGGGGATAAATTCAGCTTCATTAAACTTGGGCAGCTCTGAAATCTTTCAGTAGCTTGTGTGCTGTGTTGATTTTTCACTGTTGGATCTACACTTAATGCTATTTGGAGCATAAGACTTTGAGAATGTAATGCTTTGTGTTTATTCTTATCTTCTCTTTCCACCTAATATCAAAAGCAGCCAGCTGGGGATAGAAGGTTTTCATATTTCATTTTCATCTGTCTCCAGTTCCCTCATTTGTAAATGAGATCAACATCTTTTTAATTAATCAACACTCTTTCAGGTTTCAGACTAATACAAATCACTTAAATACATGACCTCTTGAAAGCGTTGTACTGAGCTATATCTGCCACAGGGCTTACTGTGGCATTAATCACAAGAATGGCAAAGACCACTAACATGCAGCTTGTCTGCAGACAACAGCACTTTGCAGTATAAAAAATGGCCACTGAGCGAACCTCACTGAAGCAATTCATGAGGCAAGAGTTTCACAGCAAGTGGCAATGCCTGTCCTTGTAGAAATTTGTGCTTCAGAGGCTGAACTGTGTCTGTCCCCAGTTTCACCTCAACACATCAGTTGTGGTTGATGCAAGAATTTTTGCCAAGACCAAGAAAGAAGAAGTATGAATACTGAGTTTAGTAAGACGAACACTTACTGCTTCACATTAACAGTGTTAAGGTCTGCGACTGAGGAATACAGATTACAACTGGCACATAACTCTACGTATAAACTCTTTCTTATAAATGTCTCAAAAGTTGTGAGCAATGCACCTACTCATATATTACACACATAATATCTGGCAGACAATATCTGAAGGAGAATTCATTCCAATAAAAATAATTTATTTCATAGAGCTCTGCCTTCAAATAATATTCCCCTACTCGAAATCACTGCCTGAATGATCAGTTATAACTGGAAGTTTTATGTTTTCTGGCAGTTGAATTTCTGTTTCTGCCCACAGAACAGATGCAGTATGACCACACTGTGACACTATTAAGTGCTTTGGGTTTTGTTTTAAAACTGTACATTCACCCTTCACTATGCTCAATGAATTCCTGGCCAACTGTAGCCAAAGGTTAATTAAAGGGATTAGTGATCTTTCTGGTTCACATCAATTCATTTACTGTGAATGTCCAGGAAGAACAGTGACATCTGACAAAACATTTTAGGACCCAGAACTCTTGAAGGTAACCAGGCCAGAGATTTCAAAAAATACTGGCAGCAGTGATTACTAGTTCTATCAGCAGTTTTGTAACTCTCTGCAGTAGGCCCTATCTCACGTAGCTTACTTTCAAATATTCCTGCTTCTTCCCTCACTCTCTTCCTATAATCTGTATTGAAATAGCAAATAACGGAAATTCACATTTCAACTTACGTGTTCTCTCTGAATTGGTTTCCTCATAACTTTGATATTTGACCATTGCTTGATGAATTGGACAACAATAAACCTTGTCACAAGGCAAAAGATCACAAAAGTTCACATCAGGAATCCCGCTGACGGTTTGTGTGCTCTGAGAAATTGTGCTTTCCTGTAATGCTAAAGAAAATACGACATAATTCTCACCAGTGCTATGTGTCTATTGGAATTTATAACAGCCTTTTATTTGCATGCAGATTGGCAAAGATACAGTACCTGCTGTAGTGGTGGAGGGAAAGAGTACAACAGAACTTGAGGTATTGCTGATGGAGAAAAAGAAAAACAATTCATTAAGAAATGGTCTTCACAGTTCTGGACCAAAACACATTGGTCCGCAATCCAATATTAATTCTAGCACTTGTTCAACTACTTGCCTGGAAACAAGATGTTTCTCAAGATATTTGTCATGGATGCTAAGTACATAAAGGGTCGATATTGTCAAAACACTGTAAAAAGAGAATTTTTCTGTTAATTCACATCAATCTTCTAAGTGACACAGCGATAACACCTTGCCCAAATGCAGTAATGGAAGGGTTAACTAGCCAATCACTTCCCCTTTAGGAAAGGGGAAATCTCACTGAATTAAATATTTTTTAGATTAAGTACTTGCGTACAGATAAATTCAAAACAAACTATGGTTATTTTTTCCATTGCAAATAGAATCAAAACATCAGTTCAAGATACGTGGAGAGATTGTGAGCCACATCTTTGAAACAAAAATGGCAATCTCAATGTCTCAAGTAAATTTTCTTTCCAAGAATCCAACATCACAAGTTAAATTTTCAGAGTGACAGAAGTGCCCATCACAGTGGGAGGGGTAGTTTAATTTCACACATCAGAATTTGTACTTAGGCAAAGAAGAGTTGCATAAAATACAGAGCCTCACAAGTCTGACCTGTAGCACGAGCCACTAAGATGCATTCAAGGTGCATCACACATTTTTACATGGACAGTGATTAGTTGTACGTGTGCCACACACAGACCTCACTTTCCTAAAACAACTTCAACCTTGACATATGACCAGACACATTCACTATTAATTTTAATATACTGTGTTCTTTAAGTAGGAAGGATGATAGAAAAAAAAGAAATCACATTTTTCTTTCTGATGAAACTATTAGAAAGGGGGAAGAGAGAAACAAGGCAACTGTTGATAATTAGTTGTTACCATAGTGCCATAACAGCAACCAAAGCTAATACAGTCACCCGGAAAATCTTCCTGGAGCAAGAATCTTTCCTCTTCGATATACAAACCTAAAAAAAGCATGCTTGGTCAGGTAAAGAAATAAAGAAATAATGCACTAGTCTGACTTTTTCTTTCAGAGGGATCATATGCACCATTCTTAAATGGTGGTCAACTTCTAAAGCAAAACACTTGGGCAATGACAGGCTGTCGAAAAGCATGAATGTGCGCACTATGGATAGTCAGGGGACACAAACATTACACAGAAAGAAAGAATGGATAAAAATGACAGCTCCTTCTCTTTTCCTGCTGCCATTTTTCATGTTCCACAAGAATTTAAAAATCAAATGAAGAACTCTGTAAGCAGTGGCCACATCTGAAAGATGAGCAGCTTTCAGTGTATGATTAGACCTCATTAAACCAGAGCTGGTGTAAATGCAAAAGAAAGGTACTTTTCAGGCAAGTAGAATGAGTTTAGGTCATAGAGTATTTGATTGTTCTTACAGATCTAAGAACATTCAACCTCTTATTTTCTCTCACACTTTGGCACTGACAAAGCAAGACAGGTAAACGTGCACCGAATCAGCTTAAAAAAGGACCTAGCATCCTAGGAAGGCTGTCCTGAAAGAGATCAACCTGGAGATATTCCCTAACTCATTCAGTCCCTATTAAAATGGCTCTCTTCATTCTATTCAGGACTGGTAACTTACAGTCATGTAGCAATAGGAAAGACATCCTATTGCTTCAGGTTGTTTCTATCCCCTGAAAGATAGTATTAACAAGTAAAAACAAGACATGCAAACAACAAGCCACAGAGAAAGACTCAACCAAGAAACTGAGCTGAGAAAGAATGATCGCTGTACATACTTCCAAACTGCAACTGCATCATTTTCATGTAAGGCTGCACTGCATCGTGTAAGCTCACCAACTAGCTCAGCAGTTCTTTCCTGATGGTTTCCTCCTGCCATATTGGATCCACCCCATACACACAAAGCATAGGCAAGAAGTAGAAGTGTCTCATACATCTTTTATATCTTAGTATAGGGAGCTTTTGAGCTTCTAGAATGATGCTAAATAATACTAGCTAAGGGATTTTATTGTATTTGTAGAAGCACAAAACTTTCATCTGTAATTCAGCATATACAAAAACTCTCTTGTAGGCATCTTTCACATATTTAGTGTCACTCACCTTGCTGGATTTTGGCTGGACTGATTTTCTCGATGGCAAGAGACTAGTGACTCGACTACACCTGCTGTAAGAGACAAAGCCTCTTTGACATTCAAATGCTTCAGCAAGCAGTAAATGAAAAAAAAATGACATTTTTCACTAGAGTGTCAATGTCGCTTGCTTTGCAATTGTAACATTTAAAAAGAGAAAGGCAGAAAAATCATCAGATTTTTTTTTCAAGAAGAAAAGCATCCAGTTAACTCACTGGGATGTGTGTTATTAGATGCTACATTTGATTTCAAAGAAAAGTGGCTTAGAAATAAGAAATAATCATCACTTTTACTGAAGCAGTAATGAACATATTTTATTGCAGAAGAGGCTCTGCAGACCTCCCTCAGCACTAATTTCCAAGTTGCAGGCTGTAACTGGACAGAATCTATCTCTGATTTACACAACTGAAGCAACTACAGAAATGACTGCAGTGTAACTGCCATTTCACTATTAACTGTGGCAGTGATTTAAAACACAAGAATTTTGCAATTTTTTGCCCAACTTCATTTCTTGAAAGGAGCTGAACTCAACTATCAAGCAAAATCAGTTTTCATTTCTCCCACAGAGACTGTTTTGTTAATTTCTGTGACAATGATCAGAGAATATTCCAGACTGAGGTACCTGACTGTGCTCCTTTCGCTGACTGTTGACTTTAAACTGCTTAACCGTTTCAGCCTGGCCAGTTTTCTGTTCCACTGTTCCAATTCTTCTATTCTGACTTCAAGGCTGTTGGTTAGTTTGCAAAGCTGTTTTACTGCACCTACGTTTTCCATGAAGATCTGATCCTAAGAAGCAAAATGGGCAAAATAATGACAAAAGCAGGTACAGTACATTCACCAATTAGATGCAACAAGCAGTAATGCATGCAGAATTCACCTATGGAAGAACACACTGAATATTTAAAATGCAAACACAATTTAAGCCACTATAAATGGGAGGTCACTTTGACTATAAAACCCATTTGCTAGATTAAAAAATTGCTTGTACTCAATTTGCAGTAAATTGAAAACGAGGACTTACCGAAAAATTTGAAACTAAAGGGCTTGGAGACCAAGGATTTAAACTATATTTTGAATTCATACAGTGCTGAATTTTAAATACTACATCTGTCAAAGCAGGACCTGGCTATTTGATTTGTAGTGTTAGAGCTGAGCATTGATTTCAGAAACCCCCAACAGAATGTCCATCTATCCATTTACCTACAGCCAGGCTCTTTCCACATATAATATGAATTATACAAAAGCAGTAAGATGGGGAAAGATCCAAACCAGAAGGTTAAGCTGTGATGGTCAGATACTGCCTTCTCCTCTTCTGGATGCCACCTTAAACAAAGCTATTACTGGCAGTTAATGTTGCTAACTGTCCCAGCCTATTTAGGCCATAGAGCAGTAAGGCAAAATTAATTTTGCCTGTTGCTTTGTAAATACCTCACACACCTTTCATTTAAAGATGACTACATTCTGCAAAAACAGTATTTTGTATAAACAAAACCAGATCACAGGTATGGTAAGTTGCAGACTTCTCCACTGACAGATGACCTTAACAAACAGCCTGTTTATAAAAGAGTGAGTTCAAAATAACCTTCTGTGCATAGAACTGTGAAAAATCAATCCTACAAGTCAGTCACCCTCATGTCAATTTTACACAGAAGCCACTCATTCCATTCTCTTCAAATCAGGCATGAATTTATTCTGGGTGGCTTCAGGTAGTCAAGAAAATGGCTCACCCTCAAAAAATGAAGGTATACTTTATTTTGAGAAAAACAAACAAACAAACAGATAGGACTGATTAGAGTTTTACTGACTCATTGATGACAAAAATATTCAGCACCGTGAGGTTAAGGAGAGAAGAATAATTCCTGTCCCAAAACATCAAATTTCCACATCATTAAGATATTTCCCTAGAATGTAACAGAGCCCAGTTCAAATATGTAATGCAATGAATCAGTTTTACAGAGCTTGAGAGCTCTCCACAGGCAACTAAGACACAACACACCAGCGAGTACCTTGCTTATTTTGAACAAAAATTGGAATGCAAGGTAACAAAGTTCAAGGCCTCATCATCTGCCTAACTGCAAGGAAAGAGACAAAAAGCACTGTTATACACATGTACTCTTGTTACTGAAGAGACTGAGATATTCAGATGATGGGAGCTCCAGGTACTTAGCGCAGATATTCTATCTGAAACATTAGATATCCCAAAGCTCTACATTCAGTTTACATCTTGAGGTGTTAGGTGGAGCTCTTTCTCATTCCCCTGTCCCCCCTACATCAAGGTCACAGAACTGAATATTCACATGTTCTGCCACAGCTGTTAGGAGAAAGAAGAGAAAGCGCTGCAGTAATGACCCAGCCTTGTTGAAACAGCAGCAAATCATAGAATCGTAGAATGATTTGGGTTGGAAGGGGCCTGAAAGACCATCTAGTTCCAATGCCTTCCTGGAGGGGCAGGGCTGATACCCACTAGATCAGGTGGATCAGAGTCCCATCCAACCTGGCCTTGAGCAGCTCCAAGGATGGGGCAACCACTTCTCTGGGCAACCTGTGCTGCCTCACCACCTTCTGAGTAAAGAAATTCCACACACCTAACATAAATCTCCCCTCTTTTAGTTTAAATTTATTTCCCTTTGTCCTATCACTATCAAACCATGTAAAACATCTAATCCTAGTTCTTTTCTATAAGGATCTATAAATCAGCTATGAAGGCTGCAAATTTTCTAATCTTTCTTTCAGTGCTCTCTCCAGAAAGCCCTTCTCCCCACCTGCTCTGGAGTCCAACCCTTTGGACCAATGCTATGAAATTGCTATCCATATTTTTCAGTGAATTTGAAGTTTTTTGTATGTTCCCTGCTATTGTATGATTTATGATTTATGATGCCGTTTTAATTCATGTAAATACTTCCTGCTTTTAAAAGATTCATACATTTACTAACACCTGATGGCTCCGTTTTTTTCCAGGAACATGACACAAACTGGTTTTGTGCAGGCTGACCTCTTTGTATAAAGCACTGCATCTATTCATAGCACCACACATGAAAGGAACAGTCTAAAGACACATCCCCACTTTCTTGTTCGAGACCATACCTTGTCAACCATGAGGACGTTTTCTATTTTTTCGCCGTTATTAAAAGCGACATCTCCAGCTTCTCTAACAGCCTGAGGTAAAAGTTCCTTCACTTCCTGTGCTATTATTCCTGTTCACAAGATAACAGAAACTAAAGTCAGGAAGTGCAGTGACATACCACTGATCATGACTGTGTATTTAAATTGAGTTGTCCGTCCTACAAGCTGCAAATAGGGCCAAACATACTCTAGAATGTATCTATGGTAGGAAAATCTGTGATTTCATAATTTTTCTATTCTACAGTAGAAAGTCATAAGAACAAAATTGTTTCTGATTTTGTACTTCATTCTTGTTACACCTCTGGAAAAATTATCACCTGTCTTTAATAATTGAAATAGCAGCTGGAAAAACACCAGAAATGCTCAGTTTAGGCACTTCTAACTCACAAGAGAAATACAGAAAAGTAAGCAACTGTAGTATTCTAGAAATTAGGATGAAATTTTAAAGGGCAGTAGGGCACAATGACTAACACTGGATGTAACTGAAAACTGGCAACAGAACTGACTGAATACCTGTTTCATGAGTATTTTCTATTCCCATAACAGATGCAAATTCAGGCTTGTAGTTGTATTCCACCAGCCTCATTTGTGTTATTCTTCTCAACTGCTCATTTGTATCGACCTAGTTGGACAAATACCAAGATTAATGTGTTGAAGCACCAAGGATAGTAGTGGCCTTTAGGACTTCACTGACATAGCAACAAGCCTGATATGGTCGTTTAGTCAATCTCAGCATCAAACAATATAAACAGTGTTCCCATTCCTCATTAGCAGAATGCTATTTGTATTTGTATTGCCAGCTACCCTTCAGTCTAAAAACTGACATTTACAGATATCCCCAACTTCTACAGGCAGGCTCCCAAAGGCCGCTGGTCGTGGCTCTACTGAATCTCCTTAGGCCAGAATTTCAGCACACTCAAGTTAGAGGCACAGCTTTGTGTATCAGAGCAATATCCATAAACACGCTGTGGTGCAAACACAAAAGCCCTAAGTACTCCACAGCCCTTACCTCCCGGATATTCTCTTTTGCTCGGCTGTCAGATGGATGCATGACTCTGCCCATAACTTTTGCATTTCCACAGACAACCAGTGCTTCGTCTGGTGCATCTGTGTTAATTCCTACTCGACCGTGACAGACTACCGTCTCTGGAACATGTCCTCGCTGCCACAACACATCACTGTCGTTCTCAAACTGCCCTGGGTTAGATGCCTGCAAGAAAAAATATGTATTTAAAAATACAATATAGCATAGATGTAGGTATTGCTGTATTCCGCTGGGAATTTGGAATAACTAATCTTTAATGTTGCAATTGCATTCATGAGGGGTTTTTAAAACATTAACATAAAAAAACAGAGTGGAGTCAGTTTCTGCTCATACAGCACTTGCTTTGTCCCCTGAGTTCTTTTTTATTACCACAGTAAGCTAAATTATCAACATTTAAACCTTTTCAAATTTTAACATAACATAGCCTCCCTTGATTTCACAAACATATTCAGCACTTTCTGAGAGCTTGTGCTGAATAGATCAGAGGTGATCTTGCTTGAATTCACAGGATCCATAGAATAGATGCTCCAAACCATAAACATCACATATTGCAGATTCCGCAAATAACCCTTGAAAACAAGTAAGTGGAAAAAAAGTCCGATTACATTGATTAAATGGCAAATTACAAACTTCGCTGTAAATCATCTGTGGAAAGGGATTGTTTTGTTCTCTGTTAAGATTGCACCAAGTACAGAGGAGCCTTGCTCCTCAACGGAAATACTGAGACAAGGAGCAGAAAGGGAGGCAGAAAGAGGTAGTGAGGTCACTACCCCTACACTGCCTTTTCACAAGCATCAAAACATCTGCAGGGGAGTCATGATCATGGAGGAGATTGGGTTTTATAGGGCTTAGATTTTCTTTTTGGGTCCATTCTATTTCCTGCAGTTGTTTTGCAGCAATGTAACAGAGACAATCACATAGCCAGAACTGAAGGAATGGAGAACGGTGGCTCAGGGAGAGAAGGGCATCCAAAACCTGCCCCGGGGCTTCAGCTTGATGTACATTCCTTTTGACAATAGGACCAATGTAAGCAGCCCACTCCTGACCACCACCCCCACCTGAGAGACCACAGTTGATACCCTGACATAGAACAGGATGGAGGAGCCAACCTGACTTAAAATTAACCAAGTAAAAAGAATTAGATTTATTTTTAACACCGATCCACCCCCATTCCAGTTCATTGCAGGACCCCAGAAAAGCAGTTCCGCCAGCATGACTGAGGAGGAGTGTGGAAACAAGAGCAAGAGGCTTGATAGGAACAAAAATGGGTCAAGCATTGATCATTCAACACTGTCCCAAAACGAAATGTACCTAAGACCAAATGGCCCAGGAGATACGTCTTGTTGTGGGCATTTTCACAATAAAATACACACATGCACAAAAAGGTCACTAAATCAAAAGTCATTTGACATTTTGAGCAATGTAAGTCTTACTAATATGCCACAAAAAGAAAACAGAATGATGATATATTTTTTAATTATTTGTAGTTTGGAGCTGGTAGAAAACAAGGCTTAATGAAACAGGTGGGAACAAAATTTCTTTCCAGTAGAAATTCCCGCAAGTTACAGCTACCAAATGAATTTTGCTTTCATTCAGAAACTGAGCTACTCAAGTGTAAATTACATTCAAACCCTGTTTGCTCGGCTCTACAGACCTACAAAGTCTACACACAGCAGTTGCTGGAGAGAACACCATCTGGAAACACAAATCATGACAACTATCCATTTAACCAATTGCCATTTTCAGTGGCGGATCCAAAAGTAAACACATTTTAAAATTCTCTAAACCACTCCACAGTGTTCAAAAGGAATCCACGTTAGACATTTCATGTCGAGCAACCAGCGTCTTCCAAAGAACACACACACACACAATTGTGTATAATTAGAAAAAGCATTTGTTTTGAATAATCAATTTTGTTGATTCATTTATTCCTTTTATTTTTTAAATGTTGAATTGGCTCTTTCAAATTTGAGCCTGACTGGGGGATGATTGCAACAGGAAATTTGGGTGTATTTAAAGTCTCAGGTTTTCTCAAGCCTTTGACATCTACAATGCACCGTGTTGTGCACTTCTCACTGTTTGCCTCAATTAGAGCATGATCTGATATGCCTGATAACCACTATTCAGATGGTAGTTACGTTATGTTATGTTTCAGGGTATAAAGGGCCAGAACAGGAGCCACTTTCTCCAGCAGTGCATTTGTAGAGCTGTGCTCCTTTAAAGGAACCACTGGCTATCTCAAGATCCACTGAAATCCTTTCAGATGCCTGGAAAACTAATTTTTGTTTTAATACTGTCCAGCTTTCCTGTTGACATTTTCACTGCTTTAAATCACAGCCAGTGCTTTTCTTTCTGCTTTTCTGCCTTATTTTTCCTTTGGCTGGAATAGTGGGCAGGTTTGCCCTATCTCATTCACCGTATTTCTTTTAAAAATCTCTGTTCACACATGCATCAAAGAAGCATTCTTCACTGAAATTTCAACAGAATCTAACATTAAAAACTAGAGAAGAATGTGCATTTCTAAATCTTAGCCCAAAATATTTATCATGGAAATAAAAAGAATCCCAAGAAGGAATCAAATGTGAAAATTCAATGGCTTTCCCACATTAGCAGGGAGACAATATTTGTAACGTTGCCAAATTCAGAAAAATTCAGAGGAGAGCACTACTGTGGAAATTAATGAACAAAAAAAAAAAGAAAAGAAATAAACATACAGAAACAATACAAACACAGTGTGTCAGTGCACTGAAATGGAAGAACACACAGCAGCGGCCAGAACAACAAAACTCTTTACCACACTAATGAAATTTCAAACTCTGCTTTCAAAGCTCTCTCGAAGCTCCACTCACAAAGGGCTCCAGGCTTTATCACTTTCCAAAAACCTAACCATGGCTCCAGGAATGAGTCTTGTGGCACAAGAGGCATGGCTCAGACGAAAAAGCAGCCAATAGTGAAATGGTTTGAAATTCTTAATCTTTCTTCAGCAGCCTCCATGCAACACTACACATCCTGGGCACATGCACTTTCTTTCCAGACCCTAGCCCTAAACCAGACTGTAATCCTAAACCTAGGCAGATAAACTGCCACCAAAACTCATCATGAACAACTACACAGAAAAAAAACTGCTAAGACTGAAAATACCTTAAGAACTCATCTTTCTTCAGAAGCCCCTTCCTACTCCAACAGTGCAAAAGCTCTTAGTCTTACTAGACTCTAAGACAAAATTCAAAGCCTACTACTAGCCATAACCAAAACCCCAGAAATGCTCCATGATCCCAACAAGAAGCTCCATGATGGGCCCAAGTAGAAAGGTTTTCTGGACAGCAATATTCTGATGACACTCATATTCTTTTCCTAGACCCTAGGACTACAATTTCCCTCAGCTAAAAGCCCTAAAAATAATCTCCACACTAAAATTAAACATTATCCAAGATAGTGCCCAGATCAGATGTGAAATTTAACCCACAAATCACAGTAAAAAAGAGTGAGAACTGAAAGGTTTTAGCAGTCCTCACCTTCCCCTTGCAGCTCCACTGTACTCAATCACACACACAGGATCTGCACTGTCACCACTCAACTAATCTTAACTGTAGGTAAATCTACATACTGCCCAGATCTGACACAGAACACTACCTTTGGCTAACGTGAAAAATGGGCTAGGACTGAAAGCTTTTGGCAGACCTCACCTCCTCTTTGCAAGCCCTTTTCAGCCCAATTAAGCCCAACAGTGGAGCTCTGGACATTTTCTCGCAGCAAAACCCAAGCCCTAGTCCTACTCCTAGGAAGCACCTAGATGCAACATGAATCCCCACCTAAGACTCACAAGGAAAACAAGCCAGAAATGAAATCTCTGGGGAACCCGTACCAATCTTTCACAGCACCAGGAGAATCCAACTCAGTATGGGGCTCTGGGCTTCCTCTTTCAGCAAACTGTAACACAAACCAGAGAAAGTGCCCTGGTCCAACAAAGAATCCTGTCAATGGCTCACACAGAAAAAGAGACAGGTTTTTGCAGCCTTCACCTTTTCTTTGCTTTTCATTTTCAGCCCAAATCACCCTGCGTAGGCTTTCTCCCTTTACAAATGCTAGCCCTAACACTAATGACTAGGTTCAACACAGACCTGCACCTAACACCAACACACAAAAGGGGCTGGGACTGAAAGCATTTGGAAGCCCTTACATTCCCTTTGCAGTGCCATTAAAACCCCATTCACAACAGAACTCTGTGCTTCCTCTCTCAACAAACCCTAGCCCTAACCCTGGACGAGGCCCAGATCCAACACAGACTCCCACACACAACTTACATGAAAAAGGGGCCTGGAATAAATGTTTTGGAAGCCCTAGCCTTCTGTTTGCACACTAAGGTATGCTAGAACTCTATGGTACCTCAGTTTTCAAACCTTAACCCCATTTTTAGTCAGTGCTCAGGAACAACACAGACCCCTCAGACATGGCTCACACAAAAGAAAAAGAATCTGAAAGCAGCCCATGTATTCAGCTGCATCTCTTCACTTTATTTCTATCTCTAAAATCCAACTGGAACCCTAATCCAAACTGCTGGGAGAAGCTAAGTTCCTGCATGGCTTTTAAATCCTTGCACAGCCCCTCCATAGCTCCTGTTACATTATAGCTATGACTTTTTAATCTTTTCCTAAAGCCTAAATGAAGCCTAAATGAAGGCTAAGGCTGAATATTAAAAGGATAATTTTTTCGACTCCCTTATCCATATAAAGGTAAAAAAAAATAAGAGAGAAATTTTCCCTGTTACTGTTTTGAAACATGTATTACAACACCAACTTAATTAAGAGCTCATACACACAGCAAAGTGCCAGCAATAGGTCTTAATCTTCCCAGAGCTACTCGTCCTTCTTTGCTTGCCCTACTTCTAGCATTTCAAAATCCTGGTAATTACAAGATACCAATGTATTCATATCAGATGCAACTGATATTTTTTCTGGATAATTTTTATTTTAATAATAAATATAATTTTTATGCCCAAGGATCCCTCCCAACAGTCTACTGTCAAAACAGTAAACGTGAAAGCAATATATGTTTCTACCTACCCTTACAATGATCTTTTCAGAGATATTTGCAGACAGCAAGTAGAATTGGTCCTGAGAGACAGCATAAAGTCCAACCACCAGCATGAAGTATCTAATTTGAAATTGATTTAATGGAGAAAAAAAATGAAATAACACTTTGTCATAAAGGGAAATGTTTTAAATACAATTTCTATTACTGATGCATAAAAAGATAGTCAGAATGTTTTTTAAACTTATTTGTAATATGAAAGCGAATATGAAAGTTTTTCCTCCACTCTCAAACATTACACTCTTTCAATCCCCCCAAGTCACTTAAAAGGAACAAAGTTGGTATTAACTGAAATATTTAAGTAAGGATTGGGTTATTGGCTTTTTTTTTTTGACCTCTTCATTATGTAAGGCAACATTCTGGCAATGTTTTCCTGAAATGATCTTTAACCACAAAGATAAGGCATTCCCCTTTTTTGTTTCTTAATTCTCACACCATTCTGTGACTCTAGAAGAGGGGCCTTAAAGCAGATACCCAGTATCAAAGAGTTTGAAAGCAATGAACCACAGATTTGGCAACATGCAGATCCACAAACTTAAGCTCCATGGTAGAGTGGATGTTCTTCCCACTTCCCACACTCTGGCCAATCAGCTACAACAATACCTTTGGTCAGGATTAGGTTTCCCCTTTTTTCTCATATTATTTGCTGTCGTTTCACTGAAATGCAGCCTTCCCAGTGTCACTTTAGTTATCTGATCCCCTGGCAGATCAACTCTGAAACAAGAAAAGAAACAAGATCAGGGAAATAAATGTTTACCTGGCTCTAGCCAGATTTTTTCAAACTCATTAGAGCAGTCTTAAGAGAAACTGACAAATGAAAGCAACAACAGGGGAACTCCAGTAAAAATGCAGCAAGAGTGGTTTTGTGAAAGTGCATTAAAATCACAATGATTATATCAGTGATATAAACAGAGAAATTGCTCTTATTAGTAAGAATCGTTGTTTCTTGGTCTGTTTGTACACGGTCTTGAACATAATAAAACTATATGAAAAATTTCTTTACAGAAACTTGTTAAGCACTGGAATTAGGCTTCTCAAGGAGGTGGTTGAGTCACCAACCCTGAATGTGTTTGGATGTGGTGCTCAGGGACATGATTTAGCAGAGGGTTGTTAGAGTTGGGGTAGTATGGTTGAGTTGATGTTGGACTGATGATCTTTGAGGTCTTTTCCAACCTCAGCAATTCTATGATTCTATATGATGAGAATCTGTTGCCTGCAAAGGGCATCATTTCTCACTATTGGATTTGAATTTGCACATCAAAATAAAATAAATAAATTTTACTGCTTGATGTTTTGTTCATCTGCATCTAATTTGTGTGTTTGAAAGTATAAAATGTACACATTGTGGCACCACTTTTGTAAGTGATTACTAATAACATTAAGGAGTTTGCATGGGGAAAAAACACCTTCCATCTTCTCAGCTGCTATGGGTGCAGATCGCACCATCACCACACATGAAACAACTGACACGCACCCAGATGCATTACTTTTCAGAATGTAAAAGGAATGACAATGCTATGATAGCTAAGTGAAAATCCAGCTCTCTGTCCAAGTTCAAAGTTCAGTTTTGCAGACTGTGTACTGCAACCTTTGTCATAACACTGTCCTGTCAAAGTTGACATCAGCTTATCTTTTTTTTTGCTCTAAGGCTTATTCAATTATTTATAAAGAACACATCAGCTCCAGCAGGAGACACACCAGAAAAACAAATAGTGATTCTGCCACTGACTAAGATGCGGAAGAATGGCAGACAATTCCCAAGAGAAGTTGCACATACGTCTCTAGCAGAGCCACTTCCCCTTAAAAGCACTGCAAACACATCTCATCCTTGTGTAGTCTCATGTCCCTGTAGCACAGGAACAGGAGCATTACTTACATTTCTTAAGGTGGGAAATGCATCCACCACCCAGCGTTAGTGCCACACAGCAATGCTGCCAGCTGAGTACAAATACTTTGGATGGGCATACTTCATACATTTGTAAGGCTGCCAAATTTCTCCCTTTGTGAAAGAATACCAGGTATATATCTGCAATTCTATCTGCTCACCCAGAACGAAACCGAATGAAGACAAGAAGACTGGCTTAGTTACTGTGAGTTTCCAAGAAAGAAGTGTGTCAAATTGAAATAAAATTGAATAAATTTCTCAAAATTCTTACCTAACAGGATAGAAAGTTTTTTTACTTCGATCTGACTGAGACTGCTCAATAGCAATTGTTTGATTTGGAGCTTCCATCTACAAAAAAATAATGACAATAATATTAAATTTGGAAGCACACGAACTTTGCAATATTAATCAGCAGGCAAACTGTGCCTAAAACAGTGCAGTTTCTCTCGTTTCACATGGAACAGCTGAGAAAGTAACAGGGAATTGACACCTGTTCAGCTGACAGCTAATCAGTGCTCTGTTCCATGTAGTCTATATGGCATAACTTGAAAGAAAAGAAAAGAAAATAGGAAAAAACATGTAATAATTTGCAAAAGAAAGATTGATTTCTGAATTTTGCTTGCTTCTATCCTAAATCGTAGATGTAAATATTTAACAAGGACTGAGCTATGTATGGCAGTTCACTAAATTACTTTAATGTAAATGTCTGAGCCTTTCTTGGATGTTACCACTCAGCGCTTTGCTTCAGATGGAAACACACAATATTAATGCTCAGTAATTTCTACTACATTAATGCTTTAGAACATATGAATCAAAACAGGCACAGGAATTTTTTTTTAATCACTAAATTTTGAAAGGAAGTGAAAAATTGGTAAAATCTGTCAGGAAGAAGAAAATTTAATATTAATTCTCTATATGTAAGACTGTGAACCCATACTGGCTGGGAAGAATTTGGTTCTTAGAATGAAAACCTGGCAAGAATAAACATGGGTATTGCACTGGTTTTCTACATGTGAATTGTTCAGGGGAAAAAAAAAAAAAAAAGAAAAAAGATTTGATTCATCTTCTTTGATTTTTGAGCTTTTCTTTTAACACTGCTATTCGGCCAGTGGATAAACTGGCCACCTACACACCAACTGGCATCACTACACCACCCACAGAGGGAAGAAAATTCCAGACAGTGAGAGGGACGTGACTGAAAGGTGAGTAAGACAAACGTTGTATCTTTCACCATGTATCAAGCACGAGCATCCACAAACCATCACTCCCGTAACGTTCCACACAGAAGTCATTAGTAAATTGATGAGTTGTCTTTTATCAGTTCTTGGTCAAACATCATTACAAAAAGGATTCATTTATTGATCTTATTCTATGGATAATCGTGTATTAACATTAAAAGCAACGCACACAAAGAGGATAAATACTTGCCCTTATTCCAAAAGCTTTCAAGTAAAACTTCTCTATTGGTTTCACCCCCAGCTGAGTTTTGACATATTTTGGATGACCAGTGATTCTAATATGGACTGTGATTTGGAAATGATTCTTCTTCTGGCACACAAAGGCATCATCTGTTGCTGAAAAATTAAATCCTTTGTCTGTGACAATGTGATATCCTACAGCAGGTCTGTGAAAACAAGAAAGGATAGCAATTTTAAATACAGGCATATTTGTATCTTTAATTCCCACTTTTGCATGGATTAAAAATTCATCTGTTTTTACAGACAAACGGGAGTGGAAATACATCATTCAATCACCAGTTCTACAGTTATATTCTTCTTAGCTTCTTCAAGGTGTAAGAATGAAAATGCATGTAAAATGTACTGTAATTCTCATCGGACACATTAAATGCTTGAAAAACAGACATGGGGAGCTTACATAATCCTCACTTATAACTCTGAAGATGATATGAAGGAACTCTGTGCACCTACAAGTACAACAAAACATTTTAGTATATTCAAGTATTCATTACAACATTGCTATTAACCACAGAGTTGAACTACTAATGCAGACAACAATGCACTAATGAGAGAGAATATTCCCTACTCTGTTCCTCAGTTCCCACATGAAGTTCCTCTGCAGCCTTTGCTCAAATTAACAGGAAAGTTATAAACTGACCCTCTGGACAGACCACTATAAAACTATAAAAAGTTGGATAATTACTACCTCTTGTCTGATGCTACTGTGAAACTCTCATTACATTAGGCTGGACATGAGGAAGTATTACTTTTCAGAAAGGGTGGTCAGGCACTGGAATGGACTGCCCAGGGAGGTGGTGGACTCACCAACCTCGGGGGTGTTAAAGGAAAGACTGGATATTGTGTTGAGGGACATGGTTTAGTGGGAGCTGTTGGGAATAGGTGAACGGTTGGACTGGGTGATCTTTTAGGTCATTTCCAACCTTGGTGATTCTATGATTCTATGATTCTGTGATTACTACAACTATTGAAGATGGCTTTTCAGAACTCATCCATTTATTTGCATGTTACTGGTTGGAAGAGTCAAAATGTACAGACTTCCCAGGCAATGTACAAACTTTGTTATCTTTTTATAACTGATGAATCAGTCCCTTCCAAACATCACAGACCATCTGACACAAGAAATGAAAAGTTCTTTAAAACTACTTCAAAACAACACAGTCAGATTGTTGATAATTTGTGTTCTTATTCGGAAGCAAAAACTGTGTGCTGTGCTATAAATTACAGCGCATCTTGGAACAACAGCTCTGCCGCTGACCTCACTAAAGCGAAATACTGATTTCTTCTGCTAATAGTATCTTAATCGCCCTTTATCGTAATCACACATGGTTTTGGATTTTTTAAAGATAAGCATCACATTGTCTTATCTCTGTTGATACAAGCTACCAAGAAAGGTGAATCTGGAATTTCAGTTTTAAGACTGCGGGAATTAAAATGTAACTGGGCAGGCAGCAGGTGAGAAGTCTCCCACCACCATCTCCAAGATCTACTGTAGCCACGAGCTGAAAGTATAGCAATAATCCAGATGGACACTTCATATCCCAAACACATCTGAAGCACTGGGAGGTTTCTTACAGCTCTCCTTTATACAGGAATATTCTTAATTCTTGACTGAACATTTTACATACATGTCTGTAGCTAGAAGACTTCAGTTACGTGAGCCCAGAAGTAAAACAGATATCTTCTATTTCCATTTCTTTTATGCTCAGTAAGTATATTCACTAATATGCTTAAAAAAATAAATAAAAACTAGCAGGTACTCGGGTTAAATTCTTTTTTTTTTTTTTTTTTTTTTTCTCTGAAATCTCTGAAGGGAAATTAGAAAACCTAGCATGAATTTCAAGCAGTGTTTGAAGTTGAGCTTATCTGATACATCCGAAAATTCATATCCTACCACTGCTACACCTCCTTCTCCAGTTTTATATTCAGGAAGAGCAAGGGATGACAAATGTAGCATTTATTCCTACACAGTGCCAGAAAAAAAAATAAAGAAAAAACTTTTTTTTCCAAGTGCAATCTTCAGTGCTTACAGTTTTTCATAATTAGAGTTCACTAAGCTGTTCCACTGAGAAGTTTGATATGGTTGCCATGTTAGAGCTTGGCAGCATTTTTCCAAAGCTGCATTCTGTCCATCACTGTCATATTCTTGCACTTCAGCAGCACAGTCCTTGAGAACTGCTGTAGAGAGATAGAAATCCCGCATTAACATCTTTATATAATTGCATACATAAAGCACAAATTATTCCAAATATATTTAAATCTTAACTTTCCTTCCAACTATTCCAAAAGACCTTGTCCTAGAAAATAAAATTTTCCGCTTGCCTGATTTGCAAAATATTACACAAGTAGCATTTCCTATTTTTATTACCTCCCAAAGGAAGTGTAGTTCCTTTGGAACTGGGGGAGGGGAGGAACCAGCCCCAAATGGAGAGCTAAATAAGTAGCTCTGTAAGAAACTGCATGAAGCAAGTGGGATAAAGAAGTGCAGTGCAAGTACAAGAAGCAAAAGAAATACAGACAAGTCCCATTCTTTCCAGTGGAAGTTTGAACTGAATGTACTCACTGCAATAGGTTCTTAGTTCCAGAGATAGAGACACAGTTTCCATTCTGGTTACCTGGTTAATGCTTTTTGCATATATATGACAGCATTATGAGACAGTGTAAACTGTAATTCTTAGAGATGTTTTACATTTCATGATGACAGAGGAAAATGCAGTAAGGGAGACAGATAAATGGGGTGCAGTAAGGATGGGAGAGAATATGTTAGGGTTGTTAAGCACTGGAATAGGCTCCCCAGGGAGGTGGCTGAGTCACCATCCCTGAATGTGTTCAAAAACCGTTTGGATGTGGTGCTCAGGGACAAGATTTAACAGGGGACTGTTAGTTTGGGTAGTATGGTTGGGTTGTGGTTGGATTCAATGATCTTTAAGGTCTTTTCCAACCTGAGTGATTCTACGATTCTATGATTGCATATAAGCAAAGATATTCCTGTGGCAGCACAGTGAGATAGAGCTCATCTTGAGCAGAACAATTTCAGAACCTAAGCATCATTTGTGAATCCCCATGTCTGACACACAAAAGGGAGTGAATATACTAAAAAATAAAAAAAATAATTAAAAAAAGACATTCACACTTCATTTCTAGAAGATTCCCATGCCTTTTCTTTTCAATGGTTGTGTTCTTCTTCCTGCTAGGTGTAGATTTGTGTGACACAGACTCCTAAAGATAGCATATTTAAAATCATGTCTTTGAAGTATTAAAACCAGCAACAACAACTTCAGAGACAGAGGCTCTGGAACTGCCTCTTTTCTTCTTCCAGCAGTGGCAGACTTAGAGAGCCAGTCACGAGCAAGTGACACTGACCAAACAAAAGGAGGCACCGATGGCAAACTACCATAGTGGGTTTCCACCTGCTACTCATAAATAAAAAATCTAAAAGACTTAAACTTAGAAATAACTAACTCTAAGGAAATAACATGCAACTCTCACATTTTCCACGAGGCTAAAAGTTCCTCAGGCAAACTGTAGAAAATGTATGGAGCTGATAAATTAGATCAAAAAGAGAAACTGTGATCCGTTTTGCTCACACACCAGATTAATTCCCTATTGAACTGACCCACGTTTCTTTGCCCATTCTATTTAGCACCAAGCATGTCAGCAGAGCGTGGTGTCATCCTCAGGCTCACACGTGGAGAAAGGCACAACGTTTGGAGGGCAGGCAGTCAGGGAGAATAGATGTAATATTTCAAATCCCTTTGCAAAATATAAATAGGTCTTTATTTTCAAAAAAACTGAAAAGATGAACTGCTCCAAAGCTGGTAGTGGCAAATGGGTTGTCAATACCTCTACCATTTCAGAGCCAGTAGGACATATGCTCTTTGAATGCCTACTTGCCTGCGGTATGAAATATCAAATTCTGTTTGCATGGAGCTGCTTACCTTGACTGGAGTTGTTGCACCAGACTTGAGGATCGGTGGTATCTCCAAGCACCTGTGAGAGCTTCCTTTTTATGCCTGATGGTGTGGGAGTGCTTTTAAAAAAACACACTGAATTACTCATTTCAGTCTAAACACAGTTATTAGAGTCATAAGAGAACACTCGGCTATCACAATCTAATTGTACTGTCACCCAGATCTTAATTTGCTGGGACGAGGAGATTGTTTATGGCTTTTAAAAACTGAATTATGCATTTTTCTTTCTAAAACATAAATTAATATATTTTTCTGTATCATATTAATGGAGAACTTAATCTCTTACAAAGGTTTACAGAGTGCAATCAGCAAAATCACAATATCCTAATTAATAACATAGCATTTTCTTGACTGATTTTACTCTACTGAGTGTGGATTCATTTTCTTATACAGAAAACAAAATACCATCAACTGTTATTAAACTAATCTCTTAATAAAGACACCTCAAGGAAAAACTGGTTAGACGCAATTTCTCAGAAAGTGAGATTTCAATATTTTCCCTTTCTGCAAAGGAGAAACCCTATTCCAAAATTTTGATATTATAAGATGGAACTTGGAATATCCTGATGGATGGGTCACTCCTTCTGGAAAAAAGCCAACCCAATCTCCAAGTCACAGGCAGTCCTAATAGGCTCGGATGTTTAGCTTTCTCCACAAGTAGAAGAAAAGTTTTTTCTGGATTTGTTCAGAAAATCTACACTAGGTTGAGAAGTATTTTGCACCTTAAATTCCAATAATGAAAACTTTTTCTCAAAAAACGATTATGACCAACTGGAACCTTCTACAGCAAAGGAAACAATTCATATATAACCAGTTTCACCAAGGAACCAAGGTCCAGCTTCCTTTACTCGCATCACCAAGATAAGATGCAACTGACTTTCACACAGAGGATCTACAACCCCAAGACTCATGCTGATGAATTCATACGATCTCCCAGCAACTGCGCAGATCCCATTCCAGCACACATTGGTCAATCCATTCTTATTTAGTAGGTACCATGGTGGGATGTCTGCACTACCCAGTGAATTTTAAACAACCAAGCATCCAGAACACACTAGTAGATAAATACGGCAGATGGTATACGAATACCATTTCATTTGCTTACATGGATGTGACAATTCTTTTCCTCTCATGCCATGTGTCAGAATACTTCCAAGACCCTTATGGACAAGTCCCTACAATAAGTATTGCAAAACCCCTAACTGTTTTTATAATCCAGTTATCAGCTACCTGCGGATTCCTCCTTAGCCCTGTATATTTCTTCAAACTGAAATGCATTCCTCGGCATTTTAATCCTAATTTTAATCAAGATGTTTAAAGAGCCCTCAACCTTAAGTTTCTCAAACGCGTCTAAACACTGCCATCCTGTGGAAGATTCTGTACCCACAGGGATTTTACACTAGTCCGTCACCACATCACATACCAGCTCTATTTATTATTATTTTTTTTACTGTATCTGCCTCATTTCCTGTATAAAGGCTTTACCTATAAATCTGAGATACATTTGGCTGAAAGTATGAATAATTAAAACCCAAAGAGTTGGAGGACGTAGAGTCATTCCATGGAGTCACAGCATTATCTCTCTTCATACTGCAAGGAATGCTGCAAGGATGTCCACTGCTACTGGGGTCAGAAGAAGTCTCCAGGAATCTGTAGGGAAGCTTGCTGGGTGCCACAGCCGATGGACATGGGAATGGAGACTGCTGCCCACTTGGCAACGTAGCATCACCCCACGGGGCTACAAGCAAATAGACAAGAAAGCAAATAGTAAAAAAAAGAGCTGGAGACCTTCCTACCAGTTTGGGGGGAGCCAGAACTCACGTCACCTACTCTTGAGCTGTGGTGGAGAAAATGCTTCTGACCCAGAGTCTGGTGGAGAGTCTGGCAACTGTCTTTGCCTAGGAACAAAAAACAGATTTAACTTTTTACTGAGAGAAGATCTGGAGAACAGACCTCTCTTTCTCATGGAAGTAAGGCAAAACTAAAAGCAGCTGGAGAGGGACCACAAGGCTACATGGAATGGCTTTCAGGATATATTGCTTACCAAGGTTGCAGCCCCTTCTCACAGATCAATGACAACCTCCTTATCTTGCAGAGAGCTCCCATCGCCACCAATTCTTGACCAAACATCCCTCCAAGGCGGGGGACTCAAACCCCTCTTCTTTCCCATGAGCTGGTCTTCAGTAACTTCCTGGCACAGCAGAGCACACGGGCTCACAACAGCTCCATTCTCTCTAGGCTACATTTTAAAGATCTTTAACACCTTTGTCAGCAAACAATAAATAATTTCTTGAGATTAGTTTGGGCACAGCACCCTCAGTCACCATCAAGGAGTCAGCAGGTCACACTGCAGCACCAGGAGGCAGCCCAAGGGAGGAAGGAAACGGTGAGAAGCACTTTGGTCCTATTTAAAGCAAGAACTCCTTATGAAATCACCGGAAGTGTCCAGAAGCTTAAAGTTGCAAGCTACTTTCCCTCTTCATAACCCTACATAAATTTCCTAGTTCCATTTGGAAAACATTGAGGGGGGACCAACACCTTCTATATCTAGATGATGAAAGAATTAAAAATAAAGACAACTAAGAGGTCAGCCCCAGGAGCTTCTCAAAGCAAAGATTAATTTGAAAAAGGCACAAGAACCCCTGACTACCATTGCTGACTTGTTGCATATAATACAAGGGTTTAGCAGCTGGCAGAATCTTGACATGTACACTCGAAGGAAGAACAAATTTTAAGGTGTACTGGAAAGGATTTAAGAGTTTGCACAGCAGGAGCTGCAGGCTGCATGAAGGGAGGCAGCCATGAGCCCAGTGCCTATCCCAGCTGACTGCAGCCAGACATGAGTGGTTCCAGATAGTCCCAGCGCTCACAAAGTGCAGCAGACCATGCGACACCACACACAGCACCGCCGCTCAGCAGCTCCTGTGTCACACCTGCAGGACAGCACTGTGTAATGCCACATCCAGGCAGAGCTGGGCTGCCCTCTGTGTACGGTGACACGAGCAGAGGCTCCTTTCCCACTTCGTGTTACATGAATAGGGAATTAGGAGCACAGGAGGAATCCTCACACCCCTCTGTGAGGGAAGGTCTCAGCTCCTTCAGCCACCGGTGGCCGGCAGCAGGTGTGAAGGCACAGGGGCTAAGAGGCAGGAAGGCAGCTGTCCTCTGACCAGAGCCAAGCGGTGGCAGCCTGACAGAGGAATCCTGGCTGGGGACTCAGATATTCCACATGATCCACAGCAGCCTCTGTGCCAAAACCCATAGACAAGCAGGAGAGGTTTCTGTTTTAGCAGCCTTGCTGGGAGAGGTCACTGAGCAAGCAAAGCAGTTTACAGTGTGTTATTGCCTAGACTGATTTTTAAAATGCTTGCTGGTTTGTTTGGGTTTTTTTTTGTTATTCAGACAGATGCATCTAAGAGAAAAAGAACTGGTTCCTTTTAAAGAACTTCAGGAATGCTGCTCTGTACAAGAACAAGCTTGCCTGTGGTATTTTACTGTTGCTGCTTCCTTCTGATTTACAGGTGAAAAAACCAAACACTTCCTTGTCTACAGCTGACATGAGGAGCATTGCTCTGTTTATGGCTCAACAGATAACCAAGAGCTCAGCCTCACTCTCATGGCTGAGGTTTGAAAGATGTTTCTTGATTATTTATTCTTTGGCACATTTACTTGATTATACTGTAGCACACCCCATAGAAGTTACTGTAGTTTATAGTCTGTTTTACTTTTGTGCTTCTGGAGTTTCTCCTTTCAGAGACTGTAAAGGATTACTCCCTTACAGAGAGGTGTGGAACCAGACCATGATTTAAGCTAGGGCAAATCCCTCCTGAGTAGCTCACAGCACAGCAGCAAGGTGTTCCCACACGACATAGCAAAACCATTTCTTCTGTGCTGGAAGTGGGAGCAGCTTAAGTCACCAGCAGACTGTTACAGAGGCTGTGCTGCTGGCTTCAGTCAGATGAGGGCATAGGTCTGTCACATCTCATAATTCTTTTAAGTTTTTCAGCTCTTCACAATCATGTTTTAAAGCAGTTTGAGCGAGAGAAAATCCCATGCCATCTTGCTGCTGTTCAAACACAAGGAAGAACTCCTTTACAGTAAGGATGACAGAGCACTGGAACAGGCTGCCTAGATTGGCTATGGAGTCTCCTCCTCTGGATATTCTCAAGATCTGGCTGGATACTTTCCTGTGCGACGTGCTATGGGGAGCCTGCTTTAGTAGGAAATTGGACTGGATGACCTCCAGAAGTCCCTTCCAAACTCTGCAATTCTGTGATTCAGTGAAGGGACATAATAAAGCGATCCTCAATTGCATTAGAAATGATGGAGGTTCAGAAATTGGCTTTTAACCCTTCCAGGCATACTTACCAACTGTAGGTTCAAACACTGCCTTGGAGCAGATTATTTTCTTGCATATGCACATAGAGAGTTGTAGCACTGCAACCGTAATATCTATGTAGCATACCTAAGCTGCATGGCAGCAGATACGTACATCTGTGCAACTGCTACATGCTTTTGCGTATGAAAGCAACAGAATACATTTGAAAGTTATGATCAAGGAGTTTGATAATCTGTTTAATCTGATACATATTTAGACATTTGAAAATCAAATGCTATGAAGATCTATAAACAGCATTCATTGCTATTTCATGACTGTGGCCAGAGAAATAATCAAGTCATTATTCGTTATTTAGAGTAGAGAGAAGCCTACTTAAGCTACTGTGAATAAATATGTGCAATGGCAAGTGAGTCCACAGTGAGAAATCCTGCAGGCTGTTACCCTATAAAAAACATCTACTATAGCTTTGCTCTTGGCAAACGTCGGCACATTTGTAGCATTTTGAATCTAACCACAATCATGTGACAGTTGTCTAGATGAACAGTTTGGGTCTGAAGTCTTTGATAGATGTGTTGCATAACCTTTCTCCCTTAACCATGACCCCTTGTATTACGCAGCCTTTGCAACTCTAAGAACAAGTCTCAGAAAAGATTAATGGTGAACTCCTCTGCTCTGAAGGGAGCATTAGAATAAAAGCAGTAGCCCTGTTTTTCCCTTAGACTGGAAGGTTTACATTAGTCTCTCAATTTATTATACAGTTAATCTCATTTACATCATTTACTCTGCACATAAACACTAAACTAGCACTTAGTTACATTAAAAAATAACAGCTTTGCATTTAATGCCATAATTAGCATAACAGTTGTGAATTGTTCCAGACTTCATTACCATCCATTCTGTGGAACTCCAAAATAACATATTTCCCTTACTATCTGCAGTTTATATTTCCAGCTTTCACGCAGTTTCAAGTATGGAAATAAGCACCCTACAATCCTATTGAACCTAAGAGATTTCAGGTCTAACTGCTGCTTTCAGACTTTAACCAGTGCACCACTGAAAACAATTTAATTTGCTGCTATAGTACTTACAAGGTTCCAAACTCTAAGTCACTGCTGAGGAATTCTTCCAACATACTGGTATCCACCATGGGGTTCTCCAAGGCTCTATGAACATCTTGCTCTGCAATCAAAGAGGTCACTCTTGGAATTTGTCTTTCTGACATTTGTACACAGTCATCAGCACTTCAGACTAAGGAACATTGCCCACTATCTCACTCAAAGGAAAATAAGATCAGTCCTGTCCTACCACAGGTGAGCATCTCGTGTGTTACAGACAAGTCACACTTCTATTTGGAAGTATGGGCATATTCACTGAGGGAGAAAGAATGACAGGAAATGCAGAGTAAAAGAGAGAAGGTGAAGATGACAGAACCAGAAAAGCATCAGTTTGTGCCTGTCACGAAGGCCTCACGGCATTGCCACAGCAAGAGGGGCTCCTTGTTTGCAACTACAAAAATAAGGTTCTGAAGATGTTACACTCCTTTATGTTGGGATCAAAACAGGTGAGCAAAGCAAAGCTCTGATGTCTCACAGAGATCCACTCCCTGCATTAGTACTACTAGTGAGTTTCTGAAACTGTTTTAAAACCCACTATCCTAAGCTTTGATTAAGGAAGCATAAATAAAGCTTTAGAAACACTGAAGGAATTTGAGGCTTCTGATTATTTTCCTAGAGGGAAAAAAATCCCAACAAAACAGTCCAATAATATGCTAGATGTATTACTGAGCAGAAAGGTTCAGTACTTTGTCCTTTGCTGCTTGGTTACGGAAGGCTATAAACAGACTTGATGACTGTGAAGTCTTTGAAATTCTTGAGTTCTTTTGTAGAAAGTCAATCAAGTCAGCCGGAACTCTCCTACAGAAAAAGAACCAAAAGCAAACAAAACTGTGTGGACTCACCACCTTTCCAGCAAGCCTTCTATAAATAAAGGAGTGGCCAGTCAGAAAGAGAGCAAGATAAGGAAGTTTAAGTTACTGCTCTCTACAGTCATCTACTGGAGCTAGCCAACTCTGTCCCACTGCTGTACAGGACAGAGTGGAGTAGCTTGAGAGCTGCAGGGCTCAGCCCTGAGCAGCTGACACCAGCTATTTTCCCTTCACTCTGCCACTGCCTGGGACACAACGTGCATAGCAGAAGTCATACAATTTCTTCTGTTTTCTGCTCTTGTTCCCTGTGCAGTCTTGAAATGGTGGTGAACTTCTCTGTCTGCAAAAATGTCTTGAAAATACACAAGGGGCTGGCTTTCTTCACCTATCTTCCTCAAACTTGAACACCTGCTCAAGTCACCCGGCCCTCATGCATAGTTAAAAAAAATTTTGCTATTGATGTGTTTTTTCCTGCACCACAAAACCAGGAATTGCTTATTTTGACCAAGGTCAGAAACAAGCTTTTCTGAATTGTGGCCATAAAAGGACAGGGCCTTCAATATGGGCATCCCACAGTCCAGAGAGTAGGTCTCTTGCAATGCAGAAGCAACAACAGCAATACGCCTCATTCTCTCTTAATCTCTCTGCTTTGCATAGCTAAATGGGCAGGAAGAAAAAAGCAAATCTATGCTGGGAGAGGAAGGAAGCACACCAGCAAGAAGACATCTGCCACTAATGAAAGTTTCATAGTACCAATGCACAGAATAAACAAACTACAGCTGGCTGCGCTGTAGAGCCTAACTCTAATATTTTTTTTATTTCTAAGTGTACTTCCTTTCCTGTGCTTGCTTTGGCATCTGTTTCAGCAGAGGAGGAGCTGTTGGATCATATGCAAACTTATTTAAAACACTGGCATCCATTTCCCAGACCTTGATCACAGTAAGTGGTTAAAAGTTACAGGCTTTGGGTAAAATACACTGATATTTTGACTGAGAATTTGGTTACTGTTCTTGTTGCTCCCTGGTAGCACCCAAGCCAGCTATCCAAAGTCACTATGAGGGCAGAGAACAATGTGTATGTACATGGAAAAGGGGACCCGCAGAGTCAGCAGCCTTTATCAGCATGCTTGGGGATCTCTGCTCTCAGTCCACACTCCAGTCTACAACATGCCCTGGTTGAGCGGTGTCACTGCAGAGGATTGGTGTCACTGCAGAGGATTGCCAGAAACCCAGGAAATAAACAGTTGTCATCTGTGAGGAGCAAGGGAAGATGAAGGTACAAGGCTGTGTTGTGACATGGCTTTTATACACAGCTGCATGCAGAACAGCCTGCAGTCATAGGCAACATAGGATCATATTTTGCCCATTTCTCCATCAAACCAGTATTCTGTTGCTCTGTTCCCTTTGATCTGAAGTCCAAAGCCTCTCTTCTACACTGGCTTCTATTTCCCTGTCCATTCTCCCCTAGCCTTTCCCTGTTTCCAGACACAGGCACCACGGTATGCTGATCACTGGCCTTCTACTTTATCTCTCTTTTTGGCAACCTCCTGCCACCAAGCTCCAGTAACCTGGCTCCTGAGCTCCATCTATGCTCCTGAAGACAGCAGCCCCAGACTCAATCCCTGAATCACCTGCCTCATTAATTCTCCCAGCACTTCGCTGTAGAAGCCTTACACACAACTGCATTGAAACCAGTTGCCTTCTTTCCAGCAACATCTAATGCAAAGTGAAGGATGAGGGGGATGGTACTTTTGATGCCTTCCTCAGAGTAGTTATCTCAGAGAAGTCAAACACACGTCTGAATGTGGCTTAAACCACAGCCACCACTTTCCAAAGGAGCCAGCAAATAACCAAGCTATTTGTGCTGTTTGTGTGAACAAATTCAGTCCACAACCAATAAAATATCCTTTCAAACATTTAGCATTGACTAAAACAGTACTAAATTGATCATTATGTATCATTAAAAGAGCTATGCCAGGAAGTTCCTAGTCAAGTCCAGCTATTTGTAGTAAGATTTGTGTTAAAATATCAGCTATTCTATACAGGAAACAATCCTTTCATAAAGCTGGAGATATAAAAATAACACACATTCAATAATAATTAGTACCTGTTTCATGGAGGACAAAATCATGAGGTTTGCTACAAACTCTTGCAACTTGAAGGAAAGGTTTTCTTGAGAATTAATAACTAATCTTCATCTGAAGATACTTTACCCCTAAAATACTTTGAGTCACTGTACGAGTTCAGTGGGAAGTCCAGCAGAACTTCATCAACTTATACTGACTGAGTTACTCTTACACAGGGGGCTAATTAATAATTCCTTAATTTCTTTCACACTAAAGGACTTCAGGTATTGCTCACTATTTAAGTTGTGCAAGATAGTCCTGGTCATTTTGACTAAAACAGACTACAGCCATTGATAGAAGCTGCTCATCCATCAGAGCCAAGGACATGGAGCTCAGGCACATGGCAGCAATAAGCAGGAGAGGATTTAGGTCAAAAAAGCTTTACCTGGCAGAACTACAACCTGTGGGGATATACCACAGACCACAGGTATTCAGTGGTGGTAGAAACTATAGCACTCCAAAAGGCAAGGAGTAAGCTTGTGTCAAGAAAGACAGCTTTCCCCCAAAATATCAGCGTTTTCCAGAGAAACAGAAATCTCACAGCGAGTGCTCAATTCCTCTTTAAATCCTGTTTTTAATCTCTCATCCTTAAAATAGTAGAAGAGGCCTTTGGTTTTTTCATGTTTAAAGCCGTGTTTATTCTGTGGCTTCATTCATTTGCCAAGAGCACCAAACTATACTCAGTGTTATCCATGCAGGACAAGGACTACAAAGAGAGGGGGTGATTCCACAACCAAGAAACATCTTGGTATCAAAGGGCACTGAGGCCAAACACACGCATCTCAGACACGAAAATACCTTCCAGCAATTAAAAAAAAAAACAAATAATAGCGTAATTAGTTTGGCCTTCATTGAGTGTCTCAGCCTACTGATAACATTAGCAATAAGAGATTGCTCTGCTATGCAGGGGCAGGCCCTATCCTTGGCAAATAGGAAGTTACAGAGTCAAAAATCTAAACGTTTTAATAAGTATTAATTTTAACAGAAACAATAGAAAAGTTTTAGGTCAAAATTGGAGTATCTAGTGTGAGAGGAATGAAATGAGGCAGAAGACAACAGGCACAACAGAAAAGCCATTTACTTCAATAAGAAAAAGCCAGGGTCAAATCCCAGTGAGTGTCGTATCTAGTCTGTCTACTGAATATTGAAAGTAGGTATTGATAGGAAAACAAATATTATGTCCTTTTTCTCGAGAACTCCAGACTGCCCTCTCTCAATAACATAAATGCAAGTTGATCATACCAATGACTGTCAAAACAAACACACAAGCCAAACCACCAGCTGTAGCGCTAAGCAGGTTCAGCGGAGCTAAGCCCTGCTTCAAAACAATGCAAACCATGCTTCAAATCAGACCTTTCCCATGTACTAGTGCTGCACAGCAGAACTGCATTTTTCTGAAGGATGTCAACTTTCCAAGATGTTTCACCCTTCCTTTTACTTGACGGAATTGACAGAGCTTCTCCTTCTCTCCTTTCCCTATACAGATGTTCTACCAAACATCATTTAAATCAGTCATTCTAGAATTAAAGTTATTAATTACCGTTAAACAGCTAAAACCCCTGACACACCTTCTACCAAAGTATCAATGTCCCAAAAGTCAATATGACACAGTCCACACTCCCTAGAAAACCCTGCTTCCCAAGTCAGGTTTTCAGACATTTTAGGTAATTCATGTCCAATGCTATTTAGAGAATTTAACAGCTGTGCAACACAGTACTTGAACAGTAGCTTGATAAAAACAAACGCCTTGCTAAAAGCAAAGCCAGGAAAGTCTACTAACATGTGACCTTTGTGACTTAAAGTAAATTTAAGAAACATGAATTTTGTAATATCTAGAAAAAGACACATTCGTCTGCTAGCAGCCAGAAGCTGTGAGTCACTGATTTCTATTTCTTGCCTTAAAAACAATTCCCTGAGGACTGCAAGCAAAACTTTAATTTCCACATCTGAAATTCAAGGTCAAAAGTTAGAGCTGCTGCCACCTTTCAGTTAGACCACAAATGCCAGCCAAAATAATAGTAGTAATAATAATTCACCTGTTTAGCATAATGGAAAATTAAATGCAGGTGAAGAAAAAATGCCCGCTTTGGCCAAGCCAGAAAAGTAGCCTTTCTAGATAAGACCAGTATCACATGAAGAATGCCTGGACACTGAATGAAAAATAGAATACACAGAATGAAAAAGAATACAGAAACTTGGAATTGCAAGGTTAACATGGAAAAAAAATGCAAGGAGAACACTACACGAGGAAAGAAAGATTTAGAAAGTAAAAGAATACATAACCTTTTAACAGTCATTTTTAATTACATTATGGCAGGGTCTGAGCAATGCAGTTTGATCAAGGAGTCTAGTACAAATTCTCTGTGGTAAGAGAAAGACAAGAGACCTGCCTGAGTGGGAAATGTCTTGGGAAAAAAGGCAGATCTCAGAGAAAGGCAAAAAATGGCAGTTAGACATAGGAGTGGAAAGAACAGCCATCTTTAACCCGAGCGGATGAGCTGGAACAAGGAGGGAGCTCCCTGACCTCATGAAGATCACTGGGACGTCAGAAGCAAGAAGCTGCCAGGAGCCCTCGGCCCCTTCCCCATTCTCCTCCCAGCAGTCACCAGCGCCTCCCTCCCACGGGCTCAGCCCTGGCACCTTCCTTTTGCTGCTCTCCCTGAAGGAAAAACGCACAGCAGCACATCTCTCCTGCCGGGGCTGTTTTCGTTCCAGGATCACATTACACCACTGCTTTGTGTAAATAGAGCTTTTGTTTGGGGGCTTCCTCCTTTCTTCTTCAATTCATCTCAAACAGTTGGTATACTTTTGCTGCCACAACAGATTGTTGAGACTCTTAAAACCAAGCCAAGCCCTTACCTTCAAAGAACTGCTGCAAGGCCTCATTTTCTCCCACCACATCCATGCTGAGCCACTGGAGGCCCTTTACTTTCCTGCAGTCAGAAGCGTCCTGCAGAGGAAACACGCCGTCCCCTCCCAGGCAATCAGGAATATATGAAGGAGCAAATCATGCTTCCAGCAGAGCTTTCGGCTGACTTCATCCCAGCTGCTCCTGTTCCTTCATATATCCTGTCAGGGATATACTTCAACCCTGCTACGCGTAAAGAATTTGGAACGAAGTTTGAGGCGAAATGAAGGCGATGTGCTTTCTTCAGTGCAGTGAGCTTAATGCTCGTGTCTGAGGGACCTTTGTTCCCAACACTGATCACAGTTACACATGCGCAAAAAATGCGGCAATAAAAATGACTTGTCTCTGTACTTTCACACAGGTGATACAATTACAGCTCCTGGTAAAGAGCAGCACTTCCACCAGCTGCAGCAGCTTTGCCATGCGCACTGTCCCACCAGAGCAGCTGAGCGCCACGCTACCCAATGGCTCTAAGAACTGTTTCATCTTGCAGCGCAGATTACGGAGCAGAATTACGTTGTTGTAGTGAATTTAAACTACAGACTAGTCTGTCCATCCCAGGTAAGCCTATGGGAAAGCTGAAAATTCAACTGGGGCTAACAGCAAAAACTCGTTTCACTCCATCCCAGTTGGTCTTTGCACACTCAGGTTTGGCCCTGGTCTGTCATCTATAACAAACAGGAGGCAAATACTCAGACCTTTTGAGTGGAGATCTGTAAAAGGCCTTTGGTTAAGAACAAAAGCTCCAATGGAGTCAAGAAACGTGGGAGGCAGCCATTCTCTAAAGCAGCTGAATTTACCAGACATGTAACCGCTGTGCAGTTGTTACCAGTCCCAGACACTTACAGTGTCACAGGTTTCTCATGATAGGCAGTTCGTATTAAAAAAAAATAGACAATAATTTTGGGAAAGGGACATAAAGGCAGAAGCAAGCCCAGTATTTACAAGACATCAATGTAATCAAGCCAAAGAGGCATTACCACCTGTGGTACATCTTTGTAGTTCTTCTACATGAAGACAGTCCTCGCACAATAAACTTTAGATACCTTTTGTCTAGGCACTATTATGTAGAAAAAAAAAATCTCTTTGCTTTAATGGGCAACACCTGTAAAGGATTACTAAGTCAGAATAGCAGCATCTACGGGCTATAATTTAACTACTGTTAGCTAATCCCGGAAACAGTTTGATTTCATTATGTAAACCAAAGATTAACAATCTTTTAGGAAGCATTTATAAGCCTAACGTAACAGCAATAAATAGAATTTGTTTTCTTAGACAGAGAAACTAGACTTTCTTAGCTCAACTGAAATAAGAAAAACCTTCCTTTAGAAGCTGCAGTGAGAACTGTTCCAGGTTTCTGCAGCAGAAACTCTATCTGCCACTGCTTTATGAGTACCTGTGATTGACAAATTGTTGTCATAATCAAGACTCCAGTGTTTTTCCAGAAGGTCTCTTACATGCAAATCTCCTTGTATAGGGCTCATGTGGGAAGGTTTTGGTAGCTGGGGTCTGCAGGGATGCATTCTGTGAGCAGAGCTCTGGCTGCAGCAGGGCTGTGTTGGAGCAGCCAGAGCTGCTCTGATCAGATCACAGCCCCCATTCTGCTCTCCTCAGGGAGAGGGAGAAGGCAGAAGAGGTGGATGGGAGGAAGGTGGTTTTAGTTTGCTTTTAGTTCTCTTCTATTTCAGTATGCAGAAAATCACATTTAACTCCCTTACGTTAAATCTGTTTTGCTCACTTGGGTAAGTGGTGAGCTATGCCCCTGCCCACATCTCAACTCACAAGCTTTTCTCCATCCCTTTTTCTCTCCCCACCCTTCTGAGAAAGGGGAACAACAGCAACACAGTACTGCTCAGGCAGTGTGAAACCACCACAATACCACACCTGCACAACTATGTTCCACATTTCCTAATGAATTTTCTGCTTCAGCTTACACTACACCTTGGGAAAAAGGACTAGCAAAAGTAGCAGCTGAACAAAAAATAGATCTTCCTTAAAAAAGCCATGATCCCTTTTCTGGTTGTCTTCGGAGCAAGCTGCCTGTGTGAAAAAGCCACTAACGTTACATGCAAATTACAATCAACATGTTTAAAAAAAATCATGTAATGGATATTTTGCAGATGTAAGGACAGCTGTGGGAAATGGATGTCTAAAACAATGGAAAAAAAATTGAAAAAAAAAAAAAAAGTACAAAGATTAATCTAAAGGCAATAAGGCCAAAAAGAAAAAAACCAAAAGAATAAAGTTTTTAGTAGTCACACAGATAGATTTCTAATCAAAGAAAGACCCAAAGAGTGTTCAAGGCTATCTTATGACGTCTGAAAAGCACTCCTGTTTAAGGAGAAAGCCAGATTTATTATGCTGTTGACAGCATGAATATTTGCAGTATACAGTTCTCTTATGTTACTTGGAAATGAAGAATATAGGAATGCAGCATTTAGAAGAATATCACGACCTTCTAATTGTCAACTGGATTGGCATACACACACACAAAGGATGCATACATACATCTTCACACTGCACCATGTCAGGCATTTGTTCCCTCAAAACCATCAATAACCATCTTGGTTTCAGTTTGAAACTGCTTATCTTCTCAGGCAGGTTCACGTCACACTGCTTCACAAAGAACAGACAACAGATGCTGCAGATGCTGCTTCAGACCAACGTTTATTTAATCAGAAGTCTTGTTTTTAAATGTAAATTACAATCACTAATACACCTGCAAATGCTTACCACATTTGTTCAACTAGGTATTATATGGACACATATACAGCATAGGTCAGTTTAAAACAATCACAGTACTTCTTAGTGCAATCTGCCAAAGGAGAAAGATCTTGGACCCACTTTGTGGAAATAAATATCAAGTGACAAAAAAGATTCATCAATTTTAGAGTTATGTATCTTACATGAAGTTCATGCATGCTCAAGAGTAAAAAGATTTAGAGTTCTTCCTTGTAATAGCCAAGCTTCGCTAGTGACATCTCTCTTCTCAGCTGCATAACTTCCCAGAACATCTGATCCACTGAAAAAGACAGAAATATCACTAGACGCAATGAATTAGGTTTTTATTTTAACTGAAATAGGCACTCTGCCTCCCTGTACATTAGTTTAAGGAAACTTCAGAAGCAACAAATTCCCTAGTTTGTTACTTCCCAGTGAAATCAGAATTAAGCTGTGCGAGCTCTCTGTGCTTGGTTTTGGAAAAAATAAAGAAATAAAAGTTTGAACATTCTAGGAGATAGTCATAGTAAAAGACCAAATTTTACTTTGTTTTTTAAACGTTGATGCTTTTATTTAACTTGGGAAAAGAAATGCATCAGTGCTCTTCAGCTTCAATTAATTAGTTTCTTAACTTAATTGTTCTGCTCATTGACTCATTTTCTGTATAAAAGACTGCGAAGAAGAAGTAGAATTTGTTGGATAAGTAAAAATTGAAGGCCACTTAGTTTTATCCTTTTACCTAGACAGGAAATTTTAGCTAAATTGTTTAAATACAATCATGATTTTTTTCTTTTAGAGTGATAATAGTAAATGAAGAACAACCACAACTCTTACATGCAGTCTACTTTTCAAATTCAGAGGTGCGCAGTGTTTACACAGCCATCTTTTACATAGACTTACTGAAACCAAATAGCACACACACTTAAGCACATTTCTGATTTACTGCAGAGATAACAGTTTAAATAGGCAGCTGTTGGATATATACTGCTATCCTGACAGTAAAAAAGCAACCAGGTAACTCTGGGGAGGAAAAATAGCAACAGAAGTAAAATTACCTTTCTCTTGTGCTGAGAGGGGAGGCAGAGCACAATGAAAAAACTCATGCTTCACACTAGCTAATACATTTATACAGAGAGCCCTCATCAAGAAATCTCGCGATGCCACATTTGAAGATTAATTGCTTGATTTTCAGCTGCATTCAAATAAAATTACAGTCTGGTTTAACGTTTGGGGGTTTTGTTTGTTTGTTTTAATTAATCAGTTCTCCCTGCACAACAATCTGACAAAGAAGGGTTGACTGAATTTTCAGTGCATGAAGTGAGAGAAGATGTGTCTGTGCATTAAGGGAGGGAAGAATGTACCAGGTCAAACCAACTTAAGATTCTTTGGGGTCCCTTACCAATGCAGAATTTTTCTTTTTTTAAAAATGATATTGCTGGTTATTCCATGCATTAGATTAAAAAAATAATAATAAAATAGAACTTGTTTTCAGTCTTTAACAACAAAACAATGGAAGTGGAAGGCAAAAATGATGTGGAAAGATCATAAATATTTCCATACTTTGCCAGTCTTTTTGCCAGTCTCTATTTTTTTAAATACTGTGTAGAAAATTATCATAGCTCCACTCATCGTGGAATTTCTCTTGAATTTTCATGTGAAGGTTTTTTTAAGATAGACTGAAAAGCACCATTTCTTTCTTTATTATTTTACTGAAAATTCACCAAAGTCTCACAGTCACAATGACTACCATCTGCAAGTTTCAGGCACATTCACTGTACGCATTTTTTCTTCACCTTCCCCACAAAGACAGGCTGAGGGAGCTGGCCGGGAGAAGAGAAGGCTGTGGGGGCGACCTCACTACAGCCTTCCAGTACCTAAATGGGGCCTACAAACAGGAGTGGAGTCGACTCTTTACAAGGGTAAATATTGGCAGGACAAAGGGAAATGGTTTTGAGTTGAGGGAGGGAAGATTTAGGTTGGATGTCAGGGAGAAGTTCTTTACAGAGAGAGCGGTGAGGTGCTGGCACAGGCTGCCCAGAGAGGTTGTGGATGCCCCGTCCCTGGAGGTGTTCAAGGCCAGGTTGGCTGGGGCTCTGGGCAGCCTGGTCTAGTAGCAGATCTGGAGGTTGGTGGCTGTGCATGCGGCAGAGCAGTTGAAGCTTGATGATCGTTGAGATCCCTTCAACCCAAGCATTCTATGATTCATTCTATGATTCTCTGATTCATATGACCAAAATGCAATTTGTCACTCACCATCTTGCTGCTTCAGCAGTCCTTGCTGGATGTATCGAATATACGTAAAGAAGTTGCACACAGAAGTTATCTAAATCCATATAAAAGAATGGTGGTTAACATCATTTTGTATGACTGTAGAAAAAAATACTACTTAAAATGAAATTGTGGTAAATCTGCTTACCCTGTAACGACAAAAAGGAGAAATATAGTAGTAACTGCTTGAATCTCCTAATTTGATTCTATGCTTGCACGACTTGCTTTGTCCACTTAAAGCACATTTCCTACAAAACATGAAGTTTACATAAGTTAATAAACAAATCTGACA